CTGGCTCTTAGAATCTTTGAACATCTCCCTTTGAGATCCTCCCTGAGCCTTAGGCAGAGGGGCCATGCCTCAGACCTATCATTGGAATCGGGCAGCCCACAGTCAGCTCTTCTCTGTGTTTTGGCCAGATGTGGATTTCTTTGCTGGTCTTCAAACAGGGGCCAGCTTTTTCAAAGGGAGAGAGAGCTGTGCTGGACAAAGTATATGCTAAAGGAAATGCACATTCTAGATATTTGCATGGTCAACACCATTGTTCTGTGATAGGAGATGTCATTCTGTAAACATGTTTCTCATATTGGTTAATGAATAAATCATTGTTGGCCAACAGGAAAGCAAGATAGGCGGGACTAGGAGACAAGGAGGATTCGGGGAGAGGTAGGAGGAGATTCAACATGTAGGACCAAGAGAGCAGAGGTCTAGACCCTCTCTCCGGTAAGATAAGACCACATGGAAATACTTAGATTAATGGGTTAATACTTAGGATATGGGTTAATATTTAAGACAGAGCAAACCAATAAGAAATGCTAGTAACAGGCCAACAGCTTTATATCTAATATAGAGTCTCTGTGTGTTATTTGGGGCTGGCGCAGCTCTGGGGCCAGGCTGGCGGGAAAACTACTTGTAACAGTTCTGTGTTATTGTTCTGTGTCGAGTCTCCCTCCAGGGTGGAAGGGTTCTCACAGATTCTAACCAATGCAGTTCTAGTGCCATCTCCCTTGGGGGGGGTGTGTGTGTCGGGGGGTGATTTCCATGTGCCTACACATTTCATGTCTGCTCCTCTGCAAGCCCAACTCCTTTCCTGTAAGGAGGGCACTAGGAAAACTAGATGTGGAGTGGGTGGCATTTTAAAAACTACAACGATTTATTTTGAGCGTGTTGGGATAGGAATGCGTGAGCCATAGTGCGCATGTGGTGGTCTTTCCACCATGTAGGTCCTGGGGAATCCAACTCAGGTTGTAGGGTTGGCAGCACGTGCTCTGCCCTGCTGAGCCATCTCTCTTGTCCCAAGGTTTAGTGAAGTGTTAAAGACAGGATCTTGCACCTGCATTGAGCACGTTCCTGAAAACTATGAGGAATGAGGTCCATGATCCACCCCTTTTATAGTAGCTCCCACTGAAACTCGACAAATGCCTCTATGTGGAAAAAAAACCACAGGGTATATTAGTTTCCTAGGGATGGTAGAACAAATTACCTACCACAGGTTAGGTGGCTTAAAGAACAGAAATGTATCCCCTTACATTTCTGGAGGCTGGGCATCTAAAACCAAGGCATATGCTTTCTCTGATGTCTAGTGGGGAACGCTGTATTACTCATGGCCTCCTGGCTTCTGAGGAATGTTAGCCAATTTTTACATTCCTTTGCTAGCAGCCAGTCTGCCTTCAATGTGTTTTCTTCACATGAGCAATGTCCCACTGCATTCTCTCCTCTGTGGAACACCAGCCATGGGATTGGGGCCCACCGTGAGTGAGTACAGCCTCGTCTTGATTTCGTTATCCCTGCAAAGAACCCACTTCCAAATAAAATCCATGTTCACAGGTCCTCTAGGGCAGGATCTCAATGGATCTTTTGGGAGGACACAATTCAATCTACAAATCAGAGCAGCAGACAGGATGAGAAATACTGTCATAGTTAGTGCCAGTTGTCGACTTGCTGTATGTGGGAAGAGGAACTCTCAAGTGAGGAATTGCCTCTCCAAGTCTGGCCATGTGTGTGAGGCACTTTCTTGAACGCTACTTAGTGTAAGGGGGGCCAGCCTGTGGTGGGTGGTGTGGGGGCTGCCACGCTCGGACAGGTGCCCTGGGTTGAGTAAGAGAGGTAGTTGAGCAGGCCAGTAAGCAGAGCTCCTGCATGGTCTCTGCCTCAGTTCCTGCTCCCAGGTTCAGTTTCGGCCTTGACTTCCCTTGATGATGGACTACAAAGTGTAAGAAGAAATAAACTCATTCTTCCTCAAATTGCTTTTTCGATCAGTGTTTTACAGTGACGGAGAAGCAAACTAGTCCGATTGCCTTTGAAAATATCATCTATTTTGTAAAATCCAGCCTGATATTTGGGAACTTCTTATAAATTCTTTCACATCGCACTGTAAAAATAAACCAGTCCCCAGGCGGTCTGTCTACCCAGCTGCCTGTCTACCCAGCTGTCTTGTAAACACTTGTGTGAATATAATTTCAGATAGCTTCTGCCTCAACCACATGGGATTGAGATGTTGACAGAGCATTATGCAGTCAGTATCTGTGTTCCCAGTATCTGGATCAGGGGTACCAGGTAGAGAGTGCCCTTGGCTTGAACACATCTTTCAGACATGTATAGAGTCTGGCCTGTCCTTCCATGATGACATCATCACCTTGCTATCATGCATCTGTGGATGCCGGAAAGCCCCAACAAGTACCTTGAAATGTTTTGGCCACTGATGGGCCAACAGTTACAGAGAAAGAGGGGGGTTGCCTCTGTGAGAACAAAGCCTCTAAGCTTTGTGACTGTATCAACAGAAAATCTTGCCGTTCAACACACAGCCAGTGAATTGACCCAAACTTTTTGATTATGGCTGGGAATGTCTCAAGGGCTAACGGTAGATGATAACAATTGCTAGTATTCCTATGTAGTCATGTGATGGCTAATTGTCACTGTCAACTTGACAGGAATTTGAATCATCATAGACACACATCTCTAAGTGTGCCGATGAGGATGTTTCTAGAGAAGTTTAGTGGAGGAAACGATTCTCCTTTGTGTGGGCAACACCATCCCATGGCGGAGACTACAGTGGGCACCCATGTGCATCTCTCTCTGCTTCATGACTGTGAAGGCCATGCGACTTGCTGCGGCATTGTCTTTTCACCATGAAGGACGGTGTGCTCCAAAACTGTGAGCCAAAAGAGAATCTTCCTTAAGTGGCTCTTTTCAGGTATTTTTGTCACACCAAGAAGGAAAGTAGCTAACACACTTGTCCTAGTATGCTCCCTGTGGTTCTAAATCCCAGGACCAAAAGCAACTTGGCGAGGAAAGGGTTCATCTGGCTTGCAGATCATATATTCCTTTATCCAGGAGCTGAAGCCTAGGCAGGGCCGGGAGGCGGGGCCGGGAGGCGGGGCCGGGAGGCGGGGCCGGGAGGCGGGGCCGGGAGGCGGGGCCGGGAGGCGGGGCCGGGAGGCGGGGCCGGGAGGCGGGGCCGGGAGGCGGGGCCGGGAGGCGGGGCCGGGAGGCGGGGCCGGGAGGCGGGGCCGGGAGGTGGGGAGTGAAGCACAGACTGTGGAGGTACACTTTGCTTTTTGTCAGACGCTCTCTCTGACTCGAGCTTAGCTTACTCACAACGGACATGCTCAGTGATGACACTGAGGGCTGGGTGGGCCCCCATCAGTCACCAATCAGTGCATCTCCCCACAGACATGATCGATATGATCTGGGCAATCTCTCGGTTGAGGCTTCCTCTTCTCCAGTACTCTCGATTGGGTCAAATTGACAATAAAAACTAACCAGGATGCACACCGTGCGAACTCCAATTCATCTACGGGCCTTCACTCATTTCATCTCTTGTTCTTGGAGAAACAGTTGCCGTATGATAGGAACATAAAAATATCTGTTGGGTGGATAAAACCTACTGGCCACAATCTTTTATCTACCAGATTTTTTCCCCTCAAAATAGCTATTTGCTTTTAATCATACTAATTATGGAGTCCTGGCCCCATGGGACAATGATTTCTATTGTGAGACATAAAACTGAACCTGGAATGCGATCTAAATCTGCCTTGGCCCACCTGCTAGAGGGGAGGCGAGGACATGCAACGCCGCCTTCCCCACCTGATGGGTCAGCACCACTGAGATTTCAGCCTAATGTCTGCGAGCCGTACGAAGCGTCTGGTCTGTCTCCTTCTACAGACTTTACAAGTGGATACATGGAGGCTCACGGGGGAAGGTCTTAGCCATGGCTAGCTAGGCAATCATGGAGAGGGCCGGGGAGATGGCTCCATCGTTAAGAGCACTGACTGGTCTTTCGGGGACTTGAGTTTGGTTCCCAGCAACCACATCAGGCAGCTCACAAACATCTGCAAACATCTGTAACTCCAGATGCAGGGACCCAATACCCTCTCTGGCCTCTGCACCTATACTCACATGTACATATCCCCCCCATATATATATGTATATTTAAAAAAACACTTAAAAATTAGAAGTGGGCTCTCCAGATCCTAGGACAGCGCTCCCTCTGGCCACAGCCATCTTCAGGTTCTGACTCCAAGTCATCAGGAGCCCCGAGAGTGACGGAGAAGCATCTCATGGTTCGTGTTGGTATCATACAGCTAAGAAAAGTCATAAATGACACTTTAAGGTCAATGCTAGAGGACCAGGAGATGTCTCAATTTGTAAACAAGCACAGGGACTTGGATTTGACCCCTATGACCTGTGTAAGAAAGGCAGGCATACGGAGAGTACCCCTGTAATCTCAGAGCAGGGATGGATGCAGAGGTAGGTGGATCCCCGGGGAATGACATCAGAGATTGACCTCTGACCTCCAAGTGCACATGTACATGTGCATACACAAGCATTCACACATGTGCACACACACACACACACACACACACACACACATTACTCTTTCCATACCTTTAAAAATATTTACTTTAATGGCCGTCTCACAAGTGTCGTCCAGCCTAGGTGAGCATGCAGCCATGCGAACCCTAATTAGCAGTGCCATCCACCTGAGACCATCTGAAGTGTCCTTGCCCCGTGTCCCTACATGTTCTGGTTCTGAGAAGGTGGTCGTGGTAAATCACATCTCTAGTCACAACCACAATAAACGGAGCAGTGACATTTTCCGGAAATTAGGAAGAGAGGTCAAAGTGGAGATGTATTCTTGCCTTTTGATTCCTATTGGCGTGGGGGCTTTCTCAAGGATGTCCCCATTCAGCTCTGACACAGTGACCAGTGGCATGCATTACTGAGCCTGAGTGCCACCTCCAGAGAGAGAGAAAGACATTTGAGCCTGCCCCAGGCATGCTGGAGTGTCTTCACTGAGGTCTAGGGCTGTTCCCCTCCTTCCTGGTGGCTTCATCTTCATTTTGCATCGAGCTGGATGTGCTAATGTTGACCCTGTCACTCAGGCCCCTGGTGACGCTATCATAGGATGGGGGGAACGAAATGGCAGAAGCAGTTTCTGATTTGTCTGGGATCCCACTGATGTCGTTTGCCATGAATGTAACAAAGCCTTCACCAGGGAGTGACATTTCATCCTCCTCAGCCCTGGGCACACTCAGGGGGTTGGAGAGCGTCAAGGAGCGCTGCAACACATAGTTCCGATAGGCCTTCTGAATGACAGTGGCCGAGATGTCTTCCTGCTTCCACCGGAGGGTGGTTGCTATTGGTTCGTAGGATGCTTTGGAAAGATTAGTTGCCATGAATTTCTCTTCCATGTTCGTCTTCAGAGAATCCAGCTCTCCAGATTCTCCCAAGACGTTCTTTGTGAAGGCAAAAAGGATGTCCAAACAGTGGATCTTGTCTCCAGGGACCAATGGCAGGTCCATCTGGATCAATATATTCTGATTGGGTTTTGGGATTCTAAGAGGGCCAGAGAGTGTGTCTGCAAAGTCCGAGAGGGCAGAAAAGGCAATGAACTGCGTGGCCTCTGGGTCGAACTTCTCCCAGATCTCATAGAACATGTCGAAGTCGTCCTCGCTCAGGGGCTCTGTGCTCTCTTCTGTGGCCACATTGAAGTTCTCCAGAATCACGGCGATGTACATGTTGACCACGATGAGGAAGGAGATGATGATGTAGGTGGTGAAGAAGACGATGCCCACCGCTGGGCTCCCACAGTTCCCTCGGGAAGCACTATTGTTGCTCATATTGGGGTCACAGTATGGGGGCCCCGTGTTGAGGATGGGGCTGAGGAGGCCATCCCAGCCGGCTGACGTGGTGATCTGGAAAAGGCACAGCATGCTATTGCCGAAGGTTTTGAAGTTGAACATGTCGTCGATGCCAGCCTCCTCCACGACATTAGCGAAGCTGGCCATGCCAAAGATGGAGTAGATGAACATGACCAGGAAGAGCAGGAGGCCGATGTTGAAGAGGGCGGGCAGGGACATCATGAGGGCGAAGAGCAGGGTGCGGATCCCCTTGGCTGCTCGGATCAGCCTGAGGATGCGGCCGATTCTGGCCAGACGGATGACCCGGAAGAGCGTTGGGGAGAAGTAACTTTCAAGTGACTTAAGGATTGCAGAAAAAATGAGACCTGTGAAGCAGGGTAGAAAATGATCTAATTAGTGCCCCAGACCATGAGCTGCGGTTAAGTTAGCTGTGATCACATGTCCTCCTCTTCTCCCAGTATAGAGCCTGGGCCTTGAGCCTCACCCCCTTGTCAGTAAGTGTCCACTGTGGTAACCATCCCTCCCTCGGGTTGTATTTTGACCTTTCTACTATGTTCTTAGCTTTCTCCCCACCCAGAATATCTTACTAGCCAGTATTTATGGTTAAAACCAGTCTTCTTCAACACACCATTCATGCATGTGTGGGAATAGCACAGTGAATCCCATTGATTTATTCAATTAATATGTGCTAATCATAATAATAAACAACCATCTCTCTTCCACAGCCAAGTTCAGCTGGAAGTGACTGCAGTCTATTCCACATGCCCACAATGCTTTGCTTCCAACATGACACAGCCCACCATACCCATTTCCCCATCCTGGCTCTGTGCTCCGGGTAGACCAGGACCCCCTATGATTCATCTCCCCGTCTCCTACTGTGAAGATTGACTCAGTTCCTGGCACATGGTCCCACAGATAATTGTATGGAACTCACAGTAATTATAAGGAGGACTAGGAGTTGGGCAACTCGCTGACAGAGAAACAAGAATGGTTCTGAATGGCCAGCTGTCTCTACAATGGTTTTAATTTATCTCTTTCATTCCCAGCTGTACTTGAACTCTATGTTAGGGTCTGGAGACAGGGTTTTCAGGGTCAGCCATGTCCCCTAATCCTAACCATGAGAAGGGAAGAGAGATGAAGAATGCATATATGACATCTAATACGAGATCCTGTATGCACCTATGACATCTAATATGAGATCATGTATGCATCATGTATGCACCTATGACATCTAATACGAGATCATGTATGCATCATGTATGCACCTATGACATCTAATACGAGATCATGTATGCACCTATGACATCTAATATGAGATCATGTATGCACCTATGACATCTAATATGAGATCATGTATGCACCTATGACATCTAATATGAGATCATGTATGCATCATGTATGCACCTATGACATCTAATATGAGATCATGTATGCACCTATGACATCTAATATGAGATCATGTATGCACCTATGACATCTAATATGAGATCATGTATGCATCATGTATGCACCTATGACATCTAATATGAGATCATGTATGCACCTATGACATCTAATATGAGATCATGTATGCATCATGTATGCACCTATGACATCTAATATGAGATCATGTATGCACCTATGACATCTAATATGAGATCATGTATGCACCTATGACATCTAATATGAGATCATGTATGCACCTATGACATCTAATATGAGATCATGTATGCATCATGTATGCACTTATGACATCTAATATGAGATCATGTATGCACCTATGACATCTAATATGAGATCATGTATGCATCATGTATGCACCTATGACATCTAATATGAGATCATGTGTGTCATGCATGCATCTTCGGTTCCCCCAGTATTGATCAGAAGAGAAAGAGAGTGCACGCTCGCAACAGTAAACGTCTTTCTGGTTGGAAGGAAGAATGAGAGGAGAAGAAATAAGACAGACAAGTTCTCTCTCCAGGAGGCTCCCGTCTTCATCCTCAGGGGATTCCTGCCCAGTGAATGCGGCCGCTATGTAGGAACCAGGAACTGCTAATTAGAAGCCTTCATCACAGGGCCATAACACATGTGGTCTTTCTGTATCGTTGATATGGGCAGCCAGACAAGCAAGCTCTCATAAAAATGTCCTTTCCAATCAAACAAACAAATGAAAATCAAAACTCACTAGCCAACCGACAGCAAAAACTCCTGTTGAGCTAAGTCACATAAGTCACAGAGAGAGATCTCCATAGATCCCTTCTCTTGCTGTCTCCTTGATTTTCTGAGGAAGTCTCATTCTATAGCGAGGCTGGCCTTGAACTCACGATAGCCCAGGCTGATCTCAGCTTCACAATATTCCTCCTGCCTCAGTGCCTCAGCATGCTTGTATTACAGGCATGCAACGTCACACCAGCTGATGGGTGTATCTCAGTGCTAACTAAGCAATGAACTGATTAATTAGAAGGGAGAAGATGTTCAGGGACAACGGGTATGTTTCTGGTGCTGATGGTGCTAACGCTTTCACGGATATACAAAGCCTAACAAGTTGTGTGTGTTGAGTACATGTAGTGTTTTATTGGAATGCCAATCTTAACTCAATAAACCCATTTTAGAAAACCCAACAGCAATCCAGCAGCAATACCAGGATAAAGCAAAGCCAGATTAAAACCGCAAACAGATAAATGCAACCCAAGCCTCTGTTTTGCCACCAAGGTAGGGTGGGTGAAGAATTTCTGTCAGTTGTATTTAGAAGCCATTAGCTTTTGATAGCAAATCAATGGAAAATTAAACCCACAGCTCTGACACCAGAGGTAGGCAGGCCAGAATATAACTGACAAAAACACATTTATGGTTCAATAAGAAGTTGGTGTGTTAGGATGTGTTCTGTCAAGAGTCAAGCATCAGTTAAACCACTAGTCCAGGGACAATGTGACAGCCTTCACGGTCAGCTTGACTGGATTTAGAATAACCTAGACACAGTTAAGAGCACATCTCGGGACATTTCTGAAAAGTTGAGCTTACAGCAAGACGGGAGGCGGACACAGGAGAATCCCTAGACGCTTTGGGCCAGCTGGCTCGGTGTATGGAGCCGAGGACAGTAAGGGACTGTGGATCAAACAAGGTGGAAGGTGAGGGCTGACACCATAGGAGTCCTCTGACCTTCACACCTGACCTTCACACGTACATCATGGCATACATGCATGCATGCGTGCGTGTGCGCGCGCACGTGTACACACACACACACACACACACACAGACTTTTAAAAGTGAGCTCTCATATACACACACACAGAGACACCACACACAGACTTTTAAAGTGAGCTAGCTGTCTCCTGGGAAGAACGAGCAACCCCAGGCAGGCACGAGTCCCCCCCCCCCCCCCCCCCACACCTCCGGGCACGGTTGCGCTTACTCCCAATGGACAGGATCACCACGATGAAGTCGAACACATTCCAGCCATTGGTGAAGTAGTATTGGCGTAGGGCAAACATCTTCATCACGCACTCGCCCGTGAAGACGGCCACGAAGAACTGGTTGATCCTGCCCAGGATCTTTGTCTTCTCCTCACTCTGGTCGTCTGTCTCCACCATCATGGTGACCATATTGAGGCAAATGAGGACCATGATGGCGATGTCAAAAGCTTGCCTGGTCACGATGTCGAACACGAAGCCCTGGTACTTATTCTGAGAAAGGAAGGGAGGCATCAGCCCAGCCTGCCCCAACAACCCCCCCCCCGCCCCGCACCCAGCTCCTAGTTACGAGAGTTCTTCAGACCCCAATCTTGGGCAACCTTGGCTTCTCACCCCGATCTTTCCCCTGCTGCCATCTCTCCAGCCAGTGAGTTGGCCTGTGTAGTTTTGACAATTATTTGCCCCTGTCACCAAACTGCAACCTCTCTGAGGGCAGTAACTGTTTCCATCTTGCCTACAGGGCAGTAACTGTTTCCATCTTGCCTACAGTTCAGATTCTACTGCCTGTCATGGAGTAGGCCCTTATGATGCCGAGTGGATGGAAGATTGAACGCACAGCTGTGAGTTAACCACGCCCCAGCATCTGACAGCCACCCGACTAGCTTGAGTAATTCTGTACAGAGGCACTCATCCAATGAATATTGTGTCCAGGGTCCCACACATGTGGTCACCAGGTGTGTGTGTGTGTGTGTGTGTGTGTGTGTTCTACCAGGATGCTTCCGGAAGCCTCTAAGTGGGTAGAGGGAAGTGCTACCATGCTGGTCCCTACTGCTGCTTCACATTGCAGGAGGGTTTGCTACCCTGCTAGGGTAGAGCTGAGAATCAGACCCGAGAGGACCTGGCTCTTCTGCTTGGCTGTTGGCTATGGGATGGGAGGGGCTTTGCTGGGCCACTAAGACCCTCCCTGTCTCCATGGATACAGAGAAAACAAACAGAGGCCCATTCATGGTTACATGACTTCTAACTAAACCAAGCAAGCCTCAGATTGGGGTTAGACATTCCAATGTTTGGCTGTTCTGGGCTCAGCCTGTGGGCGGGGCTCACATCTTGGGTCACCCTCTGTGTGCTCAGCGACGATGGAGGGTGAAGGGTAACGTGACAGCCCGGAGTATATTATTTTCTTAAAATGTGGAGTATGTGAAACCTGCTTTCAGTGATTTTTATGAGAGAACATTACAGAATAAAATCACCCATTCCTGAGGAACCTTTTGCTTTTTCTATGGATGAGACACAGTTTAGAGTGTGAACTTTACCAGAGGCAAGGGTAGGGTGCATGTATGGTTTGGGGAATCCCTTTGTGGTACTGTTAATTAGCTCTACCATTAGAAGCACCCACACACCTGGGGTGGGGGCAAAACTCCTCTGCCAATGCTCCCCTTGATCTGTTAGGGATCCCAAACACATCAGTGGAACATTCCAGAGACAGATGCCAGATGGAAAGAAAGTTGGTCCCGGGTGGCCCCCGAGTGTTAATACAGCTGTCCTGGCAGGAGTGAGGCTTTCCAAAGAGACCTCTGAGCCCTTCCTTTTAACCATCAATCAGATAATTGACACAACATACCCTGAGCATCTCACGCTGGGAGAAGCACTCAAGCCTGGTTCTGACAGCTGGCTGCTCAGGCCCGCCTTGCAGGACAGACTGGAGATGAGTCAGTGATGGGCAGGACCACACTCGACAGGGCCTCCTGGCTGTGCATATCTCTTGCTCTCCCTTAAACCTACAGCTCATATCAGGACCCAGAAGTGCGACCCAAGAATCCAGAACCTCTTTATTTGCTCCTTTGACCAGTATGGTGTGTGTTGAATAATCTCCATTCTCTGGCTCTCACTCACATTTGTGTCTTTAATTGATACTTTGAGGATGGGAAGTAGAACCCAACTTGTTAGGGCTGCCAGAGCCCTGGACTTGCACCCTGAAATATCCAGTAACATTAAGACAAAGTGGGAATTTCCCCCTTGAGTTTCCTCCTTGACTCTAGACTTCAGGGAGGACATATGATCAGGCTCACGTCACTGGCAGTATCAAAATAAGAATGCTGGATAAAGCATGGGTGGACCAAGGACTGTGGGCTCCGGGGAACGGCCATGGATGGTCTCTCCCTAGACACTGCTCTTACGGTTTCCCCAAGACTCCAAAGCACCGTTGAAATATTCCAACCTTGCCTCAGTTTGTGTTGATTCAGGAATACAAGCGCTAATGTTCACCAGCCTTGGACCACATTAAGAAGAAAGAGCCATGCCTCTCCACTCAGAGCACCAACGTGGTCAATTAGGCGTGCAAAATCCCAGGAACACAGCCAGGCATCTAGGCCCTCTCCCTCACTCTCGGGAGACCCTATGCCGCCACTGGGGAGTGTGAGGTCCCAGCTAAGACTTCATTGGAAGCAATGGTATCCACCTTCATTTCCCACGCTGACCATGTTGCCTGGAATTCCAACACTAGCTCCATGCCTTTGTATTTACTGGGCACTTTTTGAAATTGAGCTCACCCTATCTCAGGGACACGGAGAGAAAGAAGCTCCAGTGGCCTATGCGCTGATTGATAGGAGGGCAGAGATAGGAGAGAAAGTATCAGAAGCTTGATTATTCTAAAGCGAAGCCCAAACACAGGAATCGGATTCAGACAGCAGCCTAGCACAGGTCAGGGGACAATCGCAGATGTTAGTCCTAAAGTGTCATCCTTCTTGTCTTGAAACAGGGTCTCTCCCTAGCCTGGAGTTTGCTAAGTAAGGTAGGCTGACTGACCAGTGAGCCCCAGGGGTCTGCCTGATTTTGCTTCCCCAGTGCTGGGATGGTTCTGGGGGCTGAGTTTTGGTCCTTGAGCTTGGGGGGGGGTAAGTACTATCTCCTCAACACTGCATATGCGCACGCGTGTGTGTGCGCGCGTGCGCATGCCTGTGTCCTGAGAGGTCCTCAGGAAGCCTTGCACACTGTTGTTCAGACTTATCCAAACCCGGTTATCTTCCTCTTACGGGATCCAGAAGGGACTTTCCGCCCTTACTGGGTCTGAAACCTCCTGCTATTCCCGATCCAAGACTTCTTCACAGATGTCAGAACAGCAACAAATTGATAGTCATTATTTACAAATAAAGTGTGCCGAAGATGCTAAATCTTCCTTTCCCTCCTGCAAATGTTCTGACACCTGTGCTCCTCAAGTCTGGAGTAGCTCATACAAGGACGGCACCTTGGTATAGAAATTCTAACCACCCTTTCCATCTCACCATCTGTTTCCAAAGCCAGGGTTGGACCTCCAGTTGTTGGGAGACGCAGAACTCGCCAGACAGGCTTATTTGAAGCACCCATCGGACCTGAGTTCGCGTCATTTAAACTTCTCATTTTGGGGGCCCGGGAACCCCACCACTTCCACACTCCTAAACTGGCCCCACCCGATAAAGAGAACCCAGGGAGCCGGGCTCACCAGGGGCCGCGGGATGGGCTTCTGGGGCTTCTTGGAGCCCAGCTTCTTCATGGCGTTGTAGTACTTCTTCTGTTCCTCCGTCATGAAGATGTCCTGGCCCCCTAGGTAGAGGAGAGGGACACACGGATGTTATTACAATGATGAGATTCCCTCAGAGATACCAAAGCCTGAGGACCGGTCCAGCCTTCTCATCTCTGCAGGTAGGATTAGGGAATGTCTGCCCTGGGAGGGGACGAGCCCATTTTATATCATAAATATGAGTAAATATCTGGAATTAGGTTCCTACGAAGCCGAGGGGAGCATGGAGGCAAGATGTCCTAACTCAGTCCCTTGATCCCAGGCGCTGGAACCCTTTCTTTCCCTAGCGGTACTTTGTAAGAGTCATCCGTGACAGCTGGCCGCAGCTGGGAAGACGGAGGTCATTTTACGGGAGGAAGGAAACCTTGGGGGACCCTGTGGGTATATCTCCCCCAGCAGTGGAAGCATCAGGCACTAGACATCGCGAGGACCAAACCCAGCTTGGCGCCACAGACAGGAAGCGCTGTGGCTTTTAGCCACGAGGCCACAGCTGTCCAAGGGACAGGGAGTACAAGATTCATTGCTACGGCGGAGACACTTGATCCCCCACTTATCTTTCTTTTCTGTTGGTTGAAGTTGTCGATAATGACCCCAACGAAGAGATTCAGGGTAAAGAAGCCGCCAAAAATGATGAAGACGACGAAGTATAGGTACATGTACAAGTTGTCCTCCCACTGAGGCTGGCAGTCAATCTGTGGTCAAGACAAAGCAGGAGAGGTGAGGAGGTGCATGTCTTAGGTTTTCCCTGAAAGCCAAGCCCGAGATGAGACAAGACTCGGCTACTTCATCCTGTAAAGCAGGACTGAGGAGTTGGGAGAAGCAGCCCGATGGAGGGATATTATTCACTAGCTGGGCGCCTGCTGTAGGCCATGGGAGCTCCACCCTGAGGAGAACACAGTCCACAGTGGAACCACCTAGGAGTAGGGAGGCTGTAACGCTTGTCTCCTCGGACCTACTGATGTGTGTTGCCTAGAAAGGTTCCTTCCCTGTCCTGCTGGGAGAGGCCACCGAGTATCATCTGATGAAATGGAAAGGGGCTTCAAACGGAGGAGGGTGGGAGTTCCAGAGGACTCCAGGGGCTGGGAGGACGGGCAGGACATCAGTCGTGCCTAACATGGTAGGAAGGGACCTTACCCATCAGCAACATTACTGTTAGGACTGGAGTGTGGAATGTCTCCCGCAGGTTGGGCCCCAGTTGGGAAGACTGTGGGACTTTTAAGAATGAAAGTCTGGCTGGGGGGGGGGGAGAGTAAATTATTTCCTGCCCACTCTGCTCCCTGACTGGGACTGCAATGTGACCAGTTGCCTTCCACTCTTGTCAAGCTTCCCAGGCCACGAGAGACTGAGCCCCCTTTGAACTGTAAGCCAGAATGACCCCTCCTCTACACTCCTTCTCGTCAGGTGTTTGGTCAGAGCAACAAGAAAAGTAACTAATAAAACCACTGCTATGCAGCCGTCTGTGGGTGTTCTCAACAGTAGTGAAAGACATGTTTGAGAAGCCCAAGGAGCCTGCGGGGTAGGCTAGCTGGACTCAAGTGCCCCAACACGTAGCGGCTGGATGTTGCTGCAGAGACAGCTGGCTGTGGGAAGCTGTGTAAGTCTGACCCCTCTGGCAGGAAGGCCATTTAAATTTCATCACTGGCACAGTCGGCGCAGGACACGCAGAGGGGAGGTTATAAGCACCAGGATTTGAGACTCACCTCTCGGGAATCAACAGCTGCATACATAATGTCCATCCAGCCTTTGAAGGTTGCCTGGAAACAAGAAGTGGAGGGCAATCAGCATCTGTCCATCTAACCAGACCCTCCTCAGTGCATGGTGGCTGGGTGGGAGAGAGTGGGATGCCTAATAAAGCGGTGTGTGGAGGGAAGAGCTCAGACAGAAAAGGAAGAAAGGAACTCTCTGGGTGACTGGGCCAACCTCACACGAGTAGTGTGGCATTGAAGACATGGAACTTTCTAGAACATGGCCTGAGCTATAGGGACACCTGGTACAGGCTGTCCCATGCTCCATTTGGGCTTCCATTTTCTCAGTCACTTTCCCAGCTAACGAACGCATGTGACATAAGAATAAGACACACGGTTGTTTTAGCTACTCTGGATTTTTTTTTTTTTTGTTGTTGTTGTTTTGTTTTTTGTTTTTCCATATGAAGTTGAGTGCTGTTCTTTCAAAGTCTGTAAAGAATTGTGTGGGGATTTTAATGGGGATTGCGTTGAATCTGTAGATTGCTTTTGGTAAGACGGCAATTTTTAACTTTGTTAATCCTACCAATCCATGAGCATGGGAGGTCTTTCCATCTTCTGATGGTTTCTCCCATTTCTTTCTTCAGAGGCTTGAGGTTGTTGCCATACAGGTCTTTCACTTGCTTGGTTAGTTACACCAAGATATTTTATACTATTTATGGCTATTGTGAAGGATGTTGCTTGTCTGATTTCTTTCTCAGCCTATTTATTGTTTGTATATAAGAGGGCTACTGATTTTTTTATTTTTTTTGGTCTTGTATCCAGCCTCTTGACTAAAGGTGTTTATCAGATGCAGGAGTTCACTGGTAGAATTTTTAGGGTCACTTATGCAAACCATCATATCATCTGTGAATAGTGATACTTTGACCTCTTTCTTTCCAGTTTGTATCCCCTTGAGATTCTTTGGTTGTCTGTCCTATTGCTCTAGCTAGAACTTCGAGTACTGTACTGAATAGATATGAAGAATGGACATCCTTGTCTTGCTCCCGATTTTAGTGGAGTTGGGTTCCTAACCTGGAAACAACCTCGATGTCCCACAACTGAATATGGACAGAGAAAATTGTTGTGCACTTACACAATGGCGTATTACTCAGCTGGTAAAAACAATGACATCATGAGATTTGTACATAAAGGGATGGAACCAGGAAAAACCGTTCTGAGTAATGCTGTGGGTCATTTGTGTGCTGTGTGAGGATATATGCTTTGATTGATTTAATAAAGACTGAATGCCCAGTAGCTAGGCAGGAGGCATAGGCAGGACTTCTGGGCAGAGAGAGGAAGTAGGAGGAGGAATCCAGGCACGTGAGAGAGACGCCAGGCACAGAACAAGGAGGAGAGGTAGTAGCCTCAAGCCACGTGGCAGCATGTAGATGAATAGACATGGGTTAATTTACATTATAAGAGCTAGTTAGGAACAAGCCTAAGCTAAGGCCAAGCTTTCATAACTAATAATTAAGCCTGTGTCGTGATTTGGGAGCTGGCTGGTGGGACAGAGAAAGACTTGTTACAGAGTGAGCTAACCCAGGCCTAGGAAGACAACCATAGTGTGTACTCACTCACAAGTGGATATAGCTATACAGGGTAACCGTGCTATAATCCACAGACAGGCCAGGTAACAAGGAGAGCTCGAGGGGTGGGGTGCACTTGGACCTCCCTGTGAAGGGGAAATAGAGATTTCATGGCTGGGCTGGGGAAGACGAGGGATCGGGTGGTAGTGGGAGTAGGCACTGAAAGGGATGACTGGAGAGTGGGGTCATTCCAGGGTCAGGTAGAAACCCGTTGTAAGGGAAACTCCCAGGAATCTACAAGAATGACCCCAGGGAATACTCCAAGCAATAGGGGACATGAACTGGCCATCTCCTATGACCAGGACAGACTTCTGTGGGATTGGAACACCAACATAACCTTCGACCTACAGTCTGCCCTGCCTTTGGGATGTGCTGGGGTTAAGCGTGGCCAACCAGTGACTGGTCCAGCCTGAGACCCATGCCACGAGAATGAGAACACGCCTGACATTGCCTGGAGCATCAGGACCCAGAGGCTGGATGGCCCAGAGACCTAGGAGAGAACCAAACATGACGGGAGAAAAAGTGTCAATGCAATGATGCCTAACCATTTTCTGCTACACTCATAGGTTGGTGCCTAGGCCAACTGTCATCAGAGAGGCTTCATCCAGCAACTGATGCAGAGACCCACAGCCAAGCATCAGGCAGAGCTCAGAGACCCCGCTAAAGAGAGGGAGGAAGGACTGTAGGAGCCAGAAGGGTCAGGGACACCACAAGAAAACCCACAGAATCAACTAGTCTGGGCTCGCAGGGGCTCACAGAGTCTAAACCGACAACCAGGGAGCCTGCATGGGACTGACCTAGGCCCTCTGCATATGTGTGACAGTTGTGTAGCTTGCTCTTCTTGTGGGACTCCTAACAGTGAAAGCAGGAGCTGTCTCTGACTCTTTTGCTGGCTTTGGGAACCCCCTATTCCTCATACCTGGTCACGTGGCCCAGCCTTAATAAGGAGTCTTACTGCAACTTGATGTACCATGTTTGGTTGACACCCATGGGCGGCCTTCCCTTTTCTGTGAGTCACACATGGGTGCTGGAATGGAACTCAGGACCTCTGGAAGAGCAGCCAGTGCTCTTAACTGCTGAGCTATCTCTCTAGTCCACCTTTTATAAACAGAAACAGAGAAGTGGATTGAAGGGGTGCAGAGAGGTTTTGGGGTAAGGACTGGAAGGAAAGGAAGGAGGGGAAATGTGGTTGGGATGTAAAATAAATAACCTATTTTCAATAAGCATAAAGAATAGATACACGTTTGGAAGTGGGAATAAGACCACATTTCCTGTTTCTAGTTTTAGCGTTCTTGTGTGTGTGTGTGTGTGTGTGTGTGTGTGTGTGTGTGTGTGTGTGTGTGTGCAGAAAACAGAGGAGGTTGTCTAATGTTCTCTTCTATTGCTGTCTGCCTTATTCCTTTAGGGCACAATCTCTCCTTGGACCTGGGAGCTCAGGCTTTGTCTTCAGCAGGATACTGGGTGATAAGCTCTGGTGATGCTTCTGATTTCCCACCCTTGGCACTGGGGTTATAGGCAAGTGTGGTTATGCCAAGAAGTTTTCATGGGTAATGAGGATCTGAACTCAGGCCTTCAGGCTTGCGTGATAAGGGCTCTTACTCACTGAGCCATACCCCTAGCCCAGTGTTAGCATCCTTGCAGTCTTAAGGGGGGGTGTGCTCTTTGTAGCGTATCTCAGGCATGAGAGAATCTCTCTCCAGCATGTTGCAGCATTTGATGAGCTGTTTGGATAACACATTTGTCCATTTTTCTCCTGAAGCCCCAGATCCTGTGCCCAGTTCTGACTGATTTCCAGGGGGTAAGCACAGTGCCTGGCAGACCACAGCTACAGATGTTATTTGTTCCCTGGATGCATGAGCAGAGGGTGGAGTACAGGAACTCACAGGCAAATAGATGTGTAAGTAGTTGTAACCACACTTCAATAAACACAGTACCGACTGAAACACGACGTACGCAAGTGACGCACAAATGAATGGTGTGAACCCATTTCACTGTTACCACCAATATTACCCACCAGTGCAACATACTTAGTTAGCTATAGTTCATGATCATACAGGAGACAATGAGAAGTGAAAGACGGAACCGTGTGTACATGCCTGTTCTGTGCATCCCGCCCCATGGACTGATGGGAGATGCCATTATGTAAATATGTTTCTCTTATTGGTTAATGAATAAAGCACTGTTGGCCAATAGCAAAGTAAGATAGGTGGGACTAGGAGACTAGGAGGAAAGAGGAAGTAGTAGGGAGGAGTCAGCATGTAGAGATTGGAGAGAGCAGAACGCTGGGCCCACTCTCCGGTAAGATGAGACCATGTGGAAACACTTAGATTAATAGAAATGGGTTAATAATTAAGACAGAGCTAGCCGATAACAAACAAGTAACTGGCCAACAGAATTATACCTAATTCAGAGTCTCTGTGTGTTATTTGGGGCTGGCAGTATTGGGCCCAGGCCAGCAGGGGAAAACCTACTCCTAACAACGGACGACTCATCTTTTATTCTATTATCTTGGGCAGACTTAGCTGGTGTTAGCCTTGTGAGCTCACACTCAGCAGTAAGGGCCTCTAGTCTAGTGGTGTCCATGGAAATACAGGATGGCTTCAGCGTGGCCTCCTGTAACGTCTCCATTTGCTAAGCAGCTAAGGGAGTAGGTATGGCCGATGTCAGAGCCGACTCACCACCTGCAGAAGTGCGAGGTAACCCATAGCAACATTGTCAAAGTTGACCTTCACGTTGACCCAGAAGAAGTGGCCAGTATGGTTTTGATGGTCACACTCCGATCTGTTGTTCACAATGGTCGAATTCACAACAGAAAACGGATTACTGCTGGTGTCGATGCACCTGGAAAATTTCCCGGCGAAGAGGTTCACGCCCATGATGCTGAAGATGAGCCAGAAGATGAGGCAGACCAGGAGGACGTTCATGATGGAGGGGATGGCGCCCACCAGCGCGTCCACCACCACCTGGTGGGAAATGGAAAAGGTCCTGGAATCCCCCTTGTGATTCTTTACTTCTCTCTCACACACACACATCTGTGCATAGAGGCCGGATGACAGTCCTCGGACGTGTCGTCCTCAGGAATTCCACCCACCTCCTCTGAGAAGAGTGTCTCATTGACCTTGAACTCACATACACCTCCATGCCTGCCTTTTACAATCATAATTTCACATGGGTTCTGGGGTTTGAACTCAGATCCTCATGCTTGTCAGGCAAGCACAGTACTGACCGAGCTCTCTCTCCAGCCCGCAAGGCAATTCGAAAATGCCATTGTCATTTATGATGCTATGGTGATGTCTTTGAGCCTGTGGTGGAGGTAGAACAGGGAGGAGGCTGGCAGCAATAAAGAAGGAAAGGGAGGGTGGCAGAGAAAAGGCACAGGACATAAAGACTGTCCAGAGAGATGCTTCGGGTGGACGCTGGCTGTGGTGCTGAGCCGAGGTTATCTCCATTTTCACAGAGTGTCAGGGAAAAGACTCACTTGTCATAGGAAACAGGACAATGGGTGCTCTGTGGGTGCTCGTGGCTAAGGCCAGGAGACGGAATAGCCAGGACCACGTCCCCAGGGGAGTGAGGTCTGAGGCTTAGGGGTGGTGGCATTTGTGGGTGACGAGAAAAGAGGTTCTTAAAGCTGACTTGAGGGAGACAAGAGTCAGACTGTACAGTGTCACCAAGGTCTGATCAGGAAGGGACAAGACAGAGCTGATAACTGGAAGTGCAGCCTGACACTTGGCTCAGTGGTGTGTAGGGCGTGGGGTGTGGGAGCTGGGGAAGGCCGGCTACACGCTGTGTGGGTCAGAGAGCTTCTGAAATGGGTCTTACCCTCATGCCTTCAAATCGAGACAGAGCCCGCAGTGGTCGGAGGGCGCGGAGAGTGCGAAGAGCTTTGAGGGATGCCACGTCTGAGTATTCAAGGATCTTTGCTATGAGGCTTGTCAGAGAGATCTGGTGCAGGCAGAGAGCAGCATGTTACCCTGGGGTTCTAGGAAGTCAGCTGCTGGAAGGAGAAAGCATCCCTGTGCCTCACCTCCCAGTCCCTGCTCTGACTATCGAGAAAGTCCTTTGCTTTTACTGAATTCAGAGGTTTATTAGTATACATTAATTATACACAGTGGTGGGTTTTACTATGTTTTCACAAGTATATATAATATATTTTGATCACTTTCACCTCCCATGATTCTCTGTCTCCTTTATCCTCCACGCATCTTCCAATTAGGTCCCTTTTAACTTTCATGTGCGTGCGCTCTCTCTCTCCCTCTCCACCCCCGTGTGTGTGTGTGTGTGTGTGTGTGTGTGTGTGTGTGTGTGTCTGTGTCTGTGTCTGTGTCTGTGTGTCTGTCTGTGTGTCGCATTGAGTTTTGCTGGATTGCTTACAGAGGCATGAGCATTCTGCTACATCACCAGGAAAATGTCTGTCCTTCCTCTAGCAATCACTAGGTATCTAAGGTCCTCAGGGATGGGTGGGGCCTGGTGAACCCCTCCTCAATCATGACAGGAAGCTGATGGGTCCAGTCTTATTCAGATGACAGCTGAATTGTGAGTTCGAGAGTACAATGTCCATGACATTCCCCCAAAGATAGCTTTCACAACACCTCATCCTTTCCAAAGACAACATTTCACCACACGCCATCCCTCCCAAAGTCAGCATTTCACCACACACCATCCCTTCCTGCAGGCCTCACGTTCCTTCTGCCCATCTTCTGGGATGCATTCACAACCCAGTCATTGCTCAAGTGGACGTCTGGGCAGTGTCTTAGGGTTTCTATTGCTGTGAAAAGACACCATGACTACAGCAACTCTTATAAAGGAAAACATTTAACTGGGGCTGGCTTTCAACTTCAGAACTTTAGTCCAGTATCATCACGGCAGGACATGGCAGCATGCAGGCAGACATTGGGCAGTTGTCTGAGATCTAGCTTCAGTAGACATCTGAGGTTCAACTGAACAGTGAGTCCCTGTTGATCTGCCAGTTCTCTTTAGGTGGCAGCCCAAGGACAGCAGAGGACTTAGGCTGTCATGATAAAATAGTCACCCCTTGCAAGAACTTTCAAGGTACCAGGGAGAGACACTCTGTGGACAAGCTCAGCTTGATGGGGCTGTGGCCCAGACCCACGGCATCCTGGGTAGTGCTTCCTGACTTATGGCTTAGCTTACTTACTTATTCCAGCACCTGTACCAGGAATCTGGAGAGAAAGGGGACACACAGGTCCCCATGTCTGAGACAATGTCCATTCTCTGGATGAGTGGCCTATTCTACCAGGCCAACAACTATGGCAGCAAACAGGATAGAAAAGACTTCCTTCTTGCATTAACACAAGGCTCCAGACACCACGAGGCACCCAGCTGTCTGCCTGGCTGAGGACAGCAAGGTTCAGAGCCAGTTTTATGTCCATCTTTTGCATATCATTCAGGGAAGGCTGTTTGGTGTTCCGACTTTACAGATGGAGCAGACAGCCCTGGCAAAGGCCACCTCCTGTTTTGCTCAGGCCACCAGCTCCCCAACTTATCGTCAGGTGCTGATACTGCATCTGTCCCTCTGTACTCTGTCATGAGTCTGGGTGAGACCCTGTTCCCCTCACATTCCACTCTTCACTGGGACCTCAGTACCTCGGGTCAGTCCCTGCCCTCGGCTGGGGTCATGTGGCCACAGCCTGCCTTGCGAGCCACATCCCACCCAGAGAGTCTGCTCTCCGTGTCTGTGCCCCTGGCCCAGGTTACGCTTTTGACTAGGACTGGCCTTCCTCTGGCACGGCGCTCCCACGGGAAGCTTTCCAAGCCACCCCACTCACCGAGCGGAAGGATGCTCATGCCTCTGTGTCTCCTCAGTGGTTAACTGTCCTCGGCAGCGTTCACCACACCCCTCCCTTTTAACACACATCCTTCTCTGTCTATGTCTTGCCTATTGGAAGATTCAAGTCTCAGCTCCTAGCGCATCTCTCTCTCTACCTCTCCCTTTCTTCCCTTCTTTTCCCCTCTCCTCCCTCCCTTCCTTTACCTTCTTTACTCGTCCTTTCCACTCCCCTGCCCCTCTCTTCCTCCTCCTCCCCCTTCTTTCCCATCCATTCCTCCCCCTTTCCTTTTTTGGGACAGGCCTTACTGTGCAGCCCAGACTGGCTTCAAACTCTTCCTCTGCCAGCCTCCCCAGTGCTGGGATTCTAGGCATATGCCTGGCTCAGTGCCCGTCTCTTGCCTTTGTGTCTCCCAGAGCACTTTATGTAGCAACTTTGCATTTAAAAGATTTAAAGAAATGTTTGATAGATGCAAGAAAAGAAAAGAATCGCTAGGCAGTGGTGGTGCACGCCTTGAATGCCAGCACGCAGGAGGCCAGCCTGGTCTAAAGAGTGAGTTCCAGTACAGGCTCTAGAGCTACACAGGGTCAGAAAGAGAAATTAAAGAAAGGAAAAAGTTTGGATGAAGGGGAAGGATGAATGACTAAGTAAAATGGCTGAGAGATACTTGGAAAGGTGGGGGTCTGTGTCGGATGGATGAGTGGAAGAAATCAGAGATTTAAAGTATGATCAGATGGGTAGGTGGAGCGAAGGGGATGGGCGGTGGCAGGTGGAGCCCGGGGCCTCATTCTGTGGCTGTGACGGAACATCCAAACAGAAGGCAGCAGAGGGGTGGAGGGAGGGAAGGAGGGTTTAATTGGCTCATGGTCCAAGCTAAATCTAGATAATTCCTCAATCGAGACTCTCTTCCAGGTGACCCTCGGTGGACATTTCAAGCTGACAGTCAGAGATTGGAAAAGTACAGAAAGGTGGTAGACCATAGGGATAAAGGGGTGGGTGAGTAGAGGTGTGCTTGGACAGATGATGTGATGCGTGAGTGGGTAAACAGAAGGTAAAGTACTGGCTGCTTGATTAGAAGGATGAATCAAGACAGATAAAAGGTCATAGATATCTGAATCATGACTTTCCTGGGAATTGCCCCTTACTGACACGCAAAGTTACCCCGACTTTAACTCAGTGCTCAGAGTAGCCCCCCCCCCCCGGAAGACAACTGCCGGAATCACATCTGAACTAGCCTGTCCACGTGAGGTTCCCAGCCCCACCCCACGATGCTCATCGAGCCACTCACGTTCACAATGAGGAAGTCCAGCCAGCACCAGGCGTTGGTGAAATACTTCTTGAAGCCATAAGCTACCCACTTGAGCAGCATCTCGAACACGAAGATGAAGGTGAACACTCTATCGGTGTACTCCAGCATAGACTTCACTCGGGGCTTTTGTTCTAGGTAGTTGTCCTCAAAGGCCTGCAAGGGAGAGAAGAGAATGGCCCGTCGTAGCTCTGGGGTCCTGACCCCACTGCAAGGACCAGCCAGCCCTGCCCATGGCCTCCGGGGAGTAGCCTTAATAGTTGGCATAGCTGAGTTTTCTTTCTTTGCTCTGAGGGTTAAAATGGAGGATGCACTGTGGGCGCAAACCAAGGTGTTGCAGCACACAGGGATTGATACTTCACAAGGCTGCTGGATACAAGTGAGAAAAGAAACCTTCAGATTGGATCTTGGAAGTGAACCAAAAGGATATCCACGGCGACTTAATTTTAAAAATAAAAGCGTAGAAGGATGCCCATAGGCAGTCTGCAAGAAAGGAAAGAATCGCCAAGACACTTCTGAAAATGAGTGTTCCATCTCACAGGTTATCAAGGAAACTGAAGTAATAAAGAGACACCAAGGATGAAAAGGAACAGAGATGGACCCCACTGCTGGCGTGTCTGTTGGAGAGTCGCTCCCAGGAGTGACTGCTGGGAGTGGAAAGACAGCCAGTCTTTGGGAGCCAGATGGTTGTCTGTAGTGAGCCAATCTGCCTTTAAGGACTGCTAAAGACACTGGGTGCTATCAGTGTCCGCATGGCTCTACAGGAGGCTTCAACGCCTCAGTTCCTGGGAGTGGCTTTATGCTTGGGTCAAACTGAGTCCACTGTGGGAAGTACATAGGTTAGACTCCCGCCTCCAGGATGGTCCTGGCCATTGACATTGATGTTTGGGTTTATACGGTCTCCAGTTTGCCTCCATGGGACAATTCTGTGGTACCCTGGGTGGTCAGAGCTCAGGTGGGATCAGCCGAGGCTGGACACCATCTCTCAGCTGCTCTTCCTTTGCTCGTCCTCAAGCATGCCTCAGTTAACTGCTGGATCAAGGGACACGGCTTCAACCTCTGGGTCTCGGTCCAAACCTAAGCCAGGCAGGCATTCAAAAACCTCCGACAACCAATGTCTCCCACCACCGTTCAATATCTCTGTCTAGTATTCAACAGTCTCGACAATCATTAAACATCTCTGATCATCATTCAATATCTGTAACAGTCATTCAAAATCTCCAACCGTCATTCAACAACTCTGGTAGTCACTCAACACTGCCCATGATTATCCCATATGTCTGAAGTCACTCAGTATTTCTGACAATCATTCAATAGCTCTGATTGTCATGCAGAGTTTCCAACAAGTATTCAACATCTCCAAAGCAGTGCTGGAGACGTGTGGTCTGTGTGAGGGGTGAACGTAGGCATTGATTGAATAAGTGGTGGTGGTGGCACATTCCCATGATGAGGTATGTTGTGGCTGTTAGATGAGTTTGCATGAGCCTATTTCCTGAGGACATTTCTTGAGAAGCCGTAGGATGCACACATACATTTATTTTACAATATTTCTATGTCCTACGCATAAGAAAGTGGGAAGAGCCACACCAAAGTGTTTTCAAAGTGAATTTCTTTTTGAATGACAGGAAAATGGCTGATTTTTTCCCCTTTATCTTTTTCTATAATTTCCAAGGGTTTTTTTTTTCATTTTACTTTGTCAAATGCAAATTCTGTGTGTGTGTGTTTTTTTTTTTTTTTTTCACTAAAAGCAAAAGCATAAAGAAGACTAAATTTGGTGTCTGTTTGGTCCCATAGGAAAGGAGATAGGAGTGAAGAGAAGGAGCTGGGGTGGGGTGGGAGTGAGGCGGACGGAACAGCTGTTTCAGGGTTTGAGGGCCCCCTTGGGGATGGGGAGGCTGGCGTTAGGCTGTAGAGAGAGGGACAGAAGGGAGCAGCAGGCTGCAGAGAACGGAGAAGGGACCTTTGGGGCACGGGAGGGCAGTCGTGAGGGCTGAGGAAGGAAGGTACCCTGTCAGCAGGGTTGGCCGTTATATTCGTGTTCCTTCTGCTCCCAGCACCCTGTTTCTTCCTTCAGGCTGCCGGCACACTAGAAACAATTCTGGCTCTCCCCCTGAGCAGTCTGGCATTTGTTCAGTTCCCAGATATTCAGTAGTCTGCTCTGTTTACAGACAGCGAATGACATAGGACTAGCAAGACAAACGGACATGTCACAGGACAGGGCTCTAGTCCCAGCTCCTAAATAAATTAGCTCAGACCCCAGCTGAGTCTTTGCCGCCAGCACTCTCACGTATGAAGCATGGCTAAATGGGGACAGCAGGTCCTTCCCAATGCCTGTGTCCACTTTGCTTAGTTAGGACGGGCACTCAACACTGCAGTGAGCCTAAGTCCGCAGGAAGAGGGCCTTCTTTCCCTGTTCCTCGGGGTCCAGCAGTCAGCCAGAGCAGCCGCTGGAGTATTTCAGAGCTCCACAGGTTTCCCTAAGGCCTTCCTCCTGCAGTTAGGCTGCAGGTGTTGGAAATGCAAGTCCTCGGGCCTCCAAACTGGACCCTTGTTTCCAAAACACACTTCCCAGATGACCAGATGCGAGACAATGATGCTGGAATGAGGTGCGAGACCTGCCTGAATAAGCCGCAGGCATGTGATGTTAAGAAAGGGGAGATGGACTCGGTCTTCAGAGAAAGCCAGTGTTGGGAAGGAAAGCCAGGGGCAGAAAGCTAGGGGTTTGGGGACCCATTACAGGTTAAAGTTAGGTTTTGCTACTGCCTCGTTGGCACACTGGGAGAGCCCTCGTCTGAGTCTCAGTTTCCCGCCTATAGGGTGGGAGACGCGCACTCATTACTTGAGAAGCTTGTATCTAGGTTTAGAATGTCATGTGAGGGATGTGCTGAGGACCTCCCACTCGTGAGGTGTGCTGGGCGAGAGCTTCCCTCCCTTCTGTAGCCTGGGGACTTTCAGCCCACTGAGACAGCCCCAAGGTCTTTGGGTGGAACTCCAGGCCGGCTAGAAGCCATCGAGCCAGGGACGCCGTCCCCCTTACCAGGGCTCCGCTGCTGAGCAGGATCATGAAGATGATGAAGCTCTCGAACCAGCTGTGCTCCACGATCCGGTAGCAGGTCTTGCGCAACTGCCAGCCTGTGGCCCAGGGGAACTTACTGGTATTCACTTTGCAGCAGGGACAGCGGCGGGTGCAGCCTGAGGGGAGAGGCGGTGGACAGTGTCCTGGTTGGCTTTCATTGTCAGTTTGACACAGACACTGCCCCCGCGGGCGTGTCTGTGGGGGGCACCATTCCCTAGGCAGATGGTTCTGGACCCCGCAAGAAAGCTAGAACCCACGAGTAAGCACCGACGGCAATGCTTCAAGTTCTTGTTAGAATTCCCCACCTTGACTTCTGTCAGTGGTGACTGAGACTGGGCAGCCAAGGAAATCCTTTCCTCCCTCAGTTGCTTTAGCGGTAGTGTTTTATCATAGCGCCGTGGGTGTATAGTGAAGGATAACCCAATGGGATGACGGTTGCTCCCACCTGCTGGGAAACCCGCTTAGGCATCCCTGGGGAAGACCCCAGCTCCTCTTCCTTCCGATCTAGCTCCTCCCTTCCTGGCCTCGCCACTCAGGTGTCTTCCTCCGGTTTCTTCCCTATTATAAATGGATCTACTGGTCCCCACCCTTGTGCCCACATATCCCTTGGAAGACTGACAAACAATGAGCCCCGAGTCTGACGGTACCTGGGAGGTGCCGCACCTACAGCCTTACCCATGCTGGAACTGGGGAGCCACATGGCTGGGGTAGGGCCTGGGTCCAGCTTAGCCAATGGAAGCAGAAACGCAACAATACTACGTTGCTCCCCATAATTCCCACTTATTTAAAGTCACCGCGGCCGCGGCCACCTTCATAGTAGGAAGTATTGCTTATCCGTCCATCACACAAGTGTTTATGGAGGCTGTACCATGCCTCACTTTTGAGGGGGAAAATGAATCAGGACAGATGTGAAGGAGCCAGCGGACACCCCATGTCCCTCCTCCTGTGGCCCTTACATTTCCAACCAGTTCACAGGGGCACCATTGTGGCAGGTACCTTTCCCCTTCCAAACTCAGGAGGGCTGGCTTATAATCTCACAAGGTGTTCGCCAGGGTGAGGAGGGCGGACGGGGCAGTGAGTCCGTCCTTGTGGCCTAAACAGCGCTGTGTCCGGCACGGGCCTCTCAAGCCTGGAGTGAGCCCGTTTGTTTGGTTCCCGGGGAAGGATGCCGGGCCCAGGGTCTGCACACGGAAGTGCTTAGATGACTGTTGTGAGGAGGTCCGTGCCCCTTGTACCTTCTGTGAAGCAGTCATCTGGCTCTTCCAGGTCTTCTGCCAGCTCTGGAATCTTCCGGAGGATTTCCTCTGGATCCGGGCAGTCCACCGTGCTGCCCTCAGAAGAGCTTGTGTCATCTACTCCCTGCAGGGCAGAGGCTCAGGGCAGTGAATGGGGCTCTTTGGAGAACCTGGGGAGTCCGTCCATAGCAAGGTTAGCCCCCTCAGGGCCCTGGCTGCCTGCCTTGGCTTGGGACTCAGCAGCTCAGGCTGGGACGTGGACGCTCCCTGCGGAGCCCTGTGGTTTAGCTGGACCCTGATGGAGAGCTGGCAATGGCCCGAGACACTGTAATTACCCATAAAGATGCTCAGCTTTCAATGCGCTTGAATATTTAATCAGGGAGCTGTGTTGTGGGGCCCTCCAGCAGCACTGGCCTGTAATGTCTCCAGACGAATTCAATTAGGAGCCAGAGCGGCTCTCATGTTAGTGAACCTGATCACTTGGCTAATGGAGCCAAATGGTAGGGTGGGTCCCCATCTGTCACTGACAGGCCCCTCCCTGCCTGGCCAGGGTTATGGCCAAGAAAACAAAAACAAAATTAAAGTCTTAAACCCAGAAGTTATGTGCCAAATGTGCAGAGTAAGGAAAGCTAGCCAGGGGGTCCACAGAACAATTCAGGAGGGATATGATGCCCACACGTAGAATGTGACAACCTTCACCCACCAGGGACTAAATGGCTTGTGTTCAGGTCCCCCAGACCCCATCACAGTTCACTCTGTTATCTTAGTCTGCTGTGGTCAGCCCTGCCTGGGCTCAGAGCCAGTAGCTGACATTCCTCACACTAAAGGGCTCGGTAAGCGTGTGTGTGGGTGAATTCTGTTCGCCTTATCTGGCCCAGTCCAGTGGCTGTCACACAGCTGCACTTGGGGGCAAGGTGTCAAGTTAAAGTCTCGAGTTTCTTATAGTGGCAATAAAAATACTAAATTTCTGGTGCTTGTGCACTTGTATGTGTGTGTGACTGTGTGTGGGTACATGTGCACTCAATGCATGTGTGTGTGTGAGACTGTGTGGGGTACATGTGTACTCACATGCATGTGTGTGTATGTGGCTGTGTGGGGGGTACATGTGCATCACATGTGTGTGTGACTGTGTGTGGGTGTAGCATGTGCACTCACATGCGTGTGTGGATGAAAGCCTGAGGCTAAAGTTAGATGTCTTCCTCAATTCTGTCCATTTTTTGAGGCAGGGTCTCCCACTGAACATGGAGCTCACTGACCTGGCTAGATTGGAGGCACCAGGCACGAGGGACCCTGCTACCCTGCCCCTCCCCCGAGCACTGAGGACTGCCCAGCTTTTTACGTGTTCTCTGCATGCCTATCAGGTGCTCTCCAGACTGAACCCTCTTCCTTGCCCCGAGACGCCGCATCTTCCCAGCATCTTTCCACGCAGGCTTTTCCCCAGGGTCTGTAAGTGACACCACGGTTTATTTTTGCCTCCACCAGCATCCCACGGTGGAGCGTTCTTCCTGCTGGCTTCTGTGAGGTTGTCAGTTCATCGTGCACCTGTAGACAGCCCCCTCCACCCCAGGCTGTTTTTGGCTAGAGAGAGTGATGTGGACAAAAGAGGGAGGGAACACCCCCAGGAAGACTCTCGCCCAGGGAGCACCTCCGACTCTGACTGCTCTCTCTCTGAAAGATTACTTAACTCTCTTTGTTCCCTGTCTTTTGTTCCCTTTTTTCCTTGGCTGTCATTTTCTGGGCACTTACTCCATTTCAGACAGGAACTGAACGTTTGACGAGCAGTATCTCATATAAGCTTCCAAATAACCTTACCAAATAGTCACTGCCATTAGTTCTACAGTTGGAGACACAGAGGCTTAGGGAGCAGGGGCTGGCCCTAGGTCCCACAGCCTGGGAAGCCACACTCTTTCCTCCTGTCCTTACAACTAGCTGGGGGTGAGGTTCAGCAGCTTGGTGTGATTAACCAGAGGTCGGCAGAGGCTTAAAAAGAAGGTTCCGAGGTTGGGGTGTGGCTTTTTCCAGCCCACATCCTCCATCAGTATACCACTCTGACAGTATGCATCCAGCTGTTGAACCGGTCCAGAAGCACACATACCTACCTCAGCAGGGACCTGAGGGGTGGCCTCACACTTCCATCCCTCACCCAGGTATGGAGCCAGGTCCTCCGAGGACACCCCAGAGCCTGGGCTCTTACACGCTTCATGGTCTCCACAGCTTTGGGCTTCCGGCAGCTGTTCCTGTTGGCGAGAGAGGGTCCATATGGGTAACTGAGTTAATTTCAGTTGATCATCTCTGAATCTGAAGGGCTTTTGCGGCTGGCTAAGGTCCTCACACGTGCAACTTACATGCATATGTACACGTGTGTGGAGTAAGCATGGAGCTAGAGGTCTGTGTATGACCCCTGGCTTCATTTGCAGCCATACGACCACAGGGAATCTATTTAGTTTTTCTGATCTGTTCTTGTTCCTTCTGTAAATCAAAAAAGTGAGATTCGCTTCATTTTGTTCATTTGACCACTAAATAAATTAGTATTTTTAAATACATTGCAGGAGATCTGGCTCCGAAGATGATAGCTGTGGTCATTGGTATCTTGCCAGAAGTCAAGCTGGTCATGAGCTAAGGTCATCTGAGTACTCTTACCCCAAGGACTCCAAACTAACTGAACATGAGCCTGAGTGGCAGACAACCATCAGAGAGTTCATGTCCCTTACTCCTGGGAGGTGACACTGTGGCCTCGGCTGTCACTCAGGCAAAGGAATCTAGAAAAGGATAGTTGATAGCAGCAGCTGCTGAATACAGATGACAGCTGTAGGGGACGAAGGTGATGGGACGTGGCTTCAGTGGCCTGGCCAGCAGCCCTGTGTGTCCCCAGGGATGCTTGGGGATCCCTGTACCCTTGTTGAACACAATGGATGCCCCAAGTCACCGAGGTTAATGAGGGCTGACTTATCAGCTTAAGGCACTAGGAATGGGCGCCAGGCATTGAGAAATACACATTATCAGAAGGCTTCAGGGTGCCTCCAAGTCTTTGGTTCTGAAGGGAATGACACCCCACCCCACCCCCACCCCCACCATCTCGTCTGGAAAACTGTATAAAGGTGTCAGAATGGCCAGGTCTGTCCCCAATGCAGGAGGATGAGATGAGCCTGCTTGGTTCTGGAGCATACATACCCTTAGCAGCTCGTGTAAGAGCCTGGGCTTCTGGAGCAGGGGCCATACAAGATAGCGTGATAGCAAACGCTTTGGAGTGTTCTGGGCTCACCTGCTCTCCCTGTCTCTCCCCCCCCCCCCGTTTGTCTCCCCAAGGATGCTAAGCCTTTCTCCTAGGCAGCGCCTCCTCTGGGCCTTGCTGAGGTGAGGCAGCGCCTGTCTGGAATGCTGGGCATGGTTTCATTTTCCATTTGGGCTGAGTTGCCTAAGCCTGGCTTGCCAGGAGCTCACAGCTCTGTCGCCTGATGCTGGAAAGCCTCTCGGATGGTTAATCTTCATTGCCCACTTGGCTGGATTTTGAATCACCATGGAAACATACCTCTAGGTGTGTCTCTGAGGAGGGCAGACCTACCTGAATGTGGGCAGTGCCCCTGCAGACTCGGGTCCTGCGCTGAATAAGGAGGAGAAAGGGACCTGAACATCAGTGTTCATCTCTGTTCCCTGACTGCGATCCGGTGTGACTAAGCCATCCTCACGTGGTAGACCGGACCTTCAGGACGGGAGCCGAAACGAGTCCCTCCCTCTTTAAAGAAGTTGCTTTTTATCAGGTATGCTGTCACCGTGACCAGGAAAGTCACTAATCGCCTCGACATAAAAATTTCTCTTTCTCTTCTGCCTAGAGCCACGGTCTGCCAAGCACCCCCCCCAAAACCCCTTCCTGAGGCCGTCTGTCCACTGAGGAGAACTCTTACCTGCCCTTTGGGGCTCTCTTCCTGCCAAGAGCTCTGAGAATTCCTCTCCATGTCTTCCTCGAGCTCATCGAGATCAGATTCTCCCTCGGCAATGGGCACAGAGACCCACACGTTAGCATCGGCGATGAAGTCCCTGTAATCCTCCTTGGGGCCACCGAGAGCGGGCTTTGCTGGGCTCCCCCCTGCATTGTTGACAGCATCAGCAGTGATGTGGTTCTCTGCTTTGGAGTTGCTGAGGGAGGGCTTCACCGCTAGCTGGGCCTCCACCTTGGGCCAGCGGGGCCGGCAGTGGCTGCTGAGGTAACTGGAAATGGCCTGGCTGGCCCGATGGCCCAATGCCTGAATCCTGGCCAGTGCTACCTGCAAGTTGTTCACCTCCCCATCGTCCTCCGGGGCTGTGAGGTTGTCGGCACTAAAGGAATTCAGCAGCAAGGCGATGAAAAGGTTGAGCACCTAAGAGAAGGTGTGGGAAGGGAGACACATCCATCACTCTGCATCAGCGGTTGGGAAACAGAGAGATGCCGGTCCTGGGTCTGACTCCTATTTACCCAGTGCACAATGATAGCATGTGACATGGTGTCACCCGCATTCAGGTGGCTCTTCCTCAGTCAAACCTCTCTGGCACTCCTGCCCAGGCACAAGCAGCCGTGTGTCCTAGATGACTCCCACTGAGTCGACAGTCAATATTGACCACTGCAGACACTCCCCAGCACCTTACTGACTCAGGCCTCCTCTGCCCTGGGCTGTCCCTGCTCACATGGAGGACTCAGGTCGTGGCAGAATGCACACCCTGGGGATCTTGAGGGGAGTTTGGGGATGCCCTGGGTACCCCACCTCATGAGGACAAGACTTAGATACCTCTACACAGTAGGAGGTTATACCGCCGATAGCACAGAGACATTCAGAGGATGATGAGCTCAGGCGGTCTGCCACTAAGGACTAGCAGAAGGCATTTGTGACCTCAGGGACAAGTGTGAAAGTGTGTTTATCCCCTCAGCCAGGCTTCCTCAAGTCTTGAAGACAGATACAAATTGATTGGCTTCTAGAGTCCATGGTTCCTTTTGCATGAGAAACGTGCTCTTAGACCACACAGCTCCACCCCCCAGAGCCCCTGGCTGCACAGTCACTCACAGGTGTAGGGGGTGGAGATGGGCCGAGCAGACTTGCTGGGGTAGATTAGGAATGCTGGGACTAATTGGCTCTCCAGAAAGAGGTCCCCCGAACCTGGGAGCAGACTGAAATAGTTTGATCACCTGGGCATCATCCGGCTTGTCCCCCCTCCAGGAGAGCACGTCACTCCCCTGGACAATCATTTGAGCACTGCAGAGCAGAGGAGGAACCTCCCTTCGGCAGTGAATACCCACCATCCATTGAGTTCCTAGACATGGCATCAGGAAACCTGCACATGTCACCCCCCCCCCCCCGTAATTTAATTCTGCCCATACACCCATGAATAAGCACTGATTTATTGCTTTAAAGCAAATTAGGTCTTGAGAAGTCACTCTCTGGCCACACTCAGCTAGAAAATGTTGGACGGGGCTTTTCCTGCTATGTCTACCGGCTTGTTCCTGGTAAGCCAGGCTGCCTGCTGAACACATGTCACAGTATATGTCCCTCGTAAGTTTGAAGACACTCCATCCGTCCAAGTGTGTGTGTGTGTGTGTGTGTGTGTGTGTGTGGTTTGTGTGGGCCTGTGCCTGTGAATGCCTGAGGACAGCCCCTGCTGTCATTACTCAGAAGGAACCCACCTTGTTTTGTGCAACAGGGCCTCTCATTAAATAGCCAAGGCTGGCTGCTCAGCAAGTTCCAGGGATCCCTCTGTCCCTGCCTCCCCAACACTCCGGTTATAAGAGCACGGACATCGTGCCTGCCCCTCCCCCCACTCTAAAATGTGGTGACTAAACCCTGGTCTCCGAGCTGGCTCACTCAGACCACAGACGCAGATGCAGACGCTTTAACTGACAGGGCTGGGTGTTTCCCCAGCCTGTAGCTCACTCACCACCAGGTTGCCCAGCACCATCACAGTCAGGAAGAGGATGAGGCAGATTGATTTCTCGCTGACTTGCATGCACACCCACATGTTCTCGATCCACTCTCCGCAGAGGATCCGGAAGATGACGAGGAAAGAGTGGAAGAAATCACACATGTGCCAGCGGAGCTGCTCGCCATTCCACAGGGCGACGCCATCCCTGCGGCAGCCGTAGGCCTCCCCGAGAAGCTGCTTCCCAACCAGGGCAAAGATGAAGACGATGATGGCCAGGATGAAGGTCAGGTTGCCCAGGGCCCCCACCGAATTGCCAATGATCTTGATGAGCGTGTTGAGGGTGGGCCAGGATTTGGCCAGCTTGAAGACCCGAAGCTGTGGAGAAAGAGACACCGTCAAAGGTCCCGTTCACTTCCTCTCACTGCCTTCTAACTGGTCTTGACTGGAAACGTGTGGAGCAAGCATCAAGTTTGGGGGGGGAGCTCTCCAGAGCCCACTTTCACAGGCTCTTCCTTTTTTATAAGTCACTCAGAGCTATGATCATCTTCCAGTAGTCCCTAAGTTGAGTGTATTCCACCAGCTGGTGGATCCAGGGATCTCATTTTGGAGAGGTCAGCCTGTCATGTCTACTCTGTTACGTAGCCACAGACTGAACTCTTCCCGGACACTGGCCTGCTCCCCCAACATGACTTTAGCTATGACTGGGACTCAAATTAAGAACAATCTTGCTATTGACCCAGAGAGGGGGTAGTCCACTGCATCAGACACACAATTGGTGAACATCTTTTAGCACATTTTGTGTCTTGGGCAGTTGGCAGCATCTGTTGTCCCTAACGGCTCTGAAACCCCAAGTGTGGATTTATGGATCCTGAATTCACACGTTCATTGGGTCGGCCAACCAACCTCCTTGTCTTACTGGAATCCAGCCATGCTTGGCAATGGTGCTGAACTGGTCTGTGGGGTGTGTGGAGAAAGGAGGGTGGGCTCCTTCTCCGGTGGAATTAATGGTTAGGGACTGAGATAGATGAAGACTCAAACTTTTCATCGTAAGGGACAGGGTCCTGGCTTCGATGGTAAAGTGTTCGGTGTGGAGAACGAGGAACTCCGTTCCATCCCAACCACCCATATAAAACCTGGGTATAGTGGTGAACGCCTCTAATCCCGGCACTGGGGAGGCGGAGGCAGGGGGGTCCTGGTGGTTTGCTGGTCGGTCAGCCTAGCTGAACCAGTGAACTCCAGGTTCAGGTGGGTAAAAGAATAGTGAGGGTCTACTACACTCAGACAAGTGCCTCCCTCCGCCACCACCAGAGAGGCTTTCTCCTGCAGCAGATGGGGACAAATGTAGACCCACAGGCAGACAACAGGCAGAGAGTGAGGGACCTTGCAACACTCAGCCTCTGTCAACGCCTGTCCTCAGGGCAAGGGAACCCTGTGTAAGAGGAGGGCGGAAAGAGAGTAAGAGACAGGCGGATGGAGGACCCCAAGGAAACAAGGCCCTCGAACTCAGCACCCTCATATGAACTCACAGGCGGAGGCAGCTTGCACAGGGCCTGCACGGGTCTAGCGTTGTCACGGGTTCCCGTGCGTGACAACGAGGGGATCTCTGATTCTTGTGCCTTCTTCCCTTCTGTCTGTCTTGTCCAGCTCTGATGCGATGGCTTTTGTTTTACCTTTATACTTTATTTTGTTACGTTTTATTGTTATCCCTTAGAAGCCTGTCTGTTTTCTAATGAGAGGCAGAAAGGGAGTGGATGTGGATGGAAGAGGGGTGGGAGGGACTGGGCGGAGTAGAGAGAGGGGAATCTGTAATCAGGGTACAATATGTGAGAAAAAAATAACAGTAATGTGAGGAAAAAATAACAGTAATGTGAGAAAAAAATAACAGTAATGTGAATAATGATTGAGGCAGACGTGGTGTTGACCTCTGACCTCCACAAACACACATATATACAGTTGCCCCCACATGAACACGCACACACACACACACACACACCTATGTACATACACACATACAGAAAGTCTTAAGTGTGGATTGAAACAGACTGACCTACAAAAGTACCGTGCACAAAGAGTCACGCAGCCTCCTGAGTGCTGGGATCAAAGGTGTGCGCCACCACCGCGCGGCTAAGATGCAGTGAGTCAGTCAGTGTGAGGGTGGAGACACGCTGGTGCCTAGGTGCTAGGATGTGGCGCTCAACAGAAAGAAAGTACAGCAGCCGTTCCCCGTCCACACGGAAGACAAACCCCGAGAGAAGAGGAGCAACGTCCGCACTGTGTCTGTCGGCTCGTCTGTGGGAGGAGCAGCCATGCTCACATTAGGCCTGCTCTGAAATGGACTCTCTTCACAATGGAAACAGAGAATAGAGGACCAGTCCTGGACTGGGCAGAAGAGCTGATAAACACGAGAGAAAATGGAACAGCCATCACTCGGTGGAACCGTTTGTGGAAGGGTCAGGGAACGCAGGCTTCCCAAATACAGCTCTTCATTCCCAGTTAGTTTGGACAAGAGACAATGGACAGCAGCGACGACGTAGCAGCCACCTACCACACTGAGGAGCCTTGGGGACAGTGAGGGACACAGCAAAAATATCAGGTACCATACCCTAGTCAGAATGACTTGTCAAAAGAGCAAATGGCAGGCTGGAGAGATGGCTCAATGGTTAAGAGAACAGCGTTTGCAAAAGACCAGGGTTTGACTCCCAGCACCCACGCAGGATGGTTCATAACTGCCTGCAACTCCAGTTCCAGGGGATGACGCCCCCTTCTGGACTCCAAGGACACTGCACTGACATGTACACACATCTGTCTATATCTAAATATCTATCTATCATTTATCTATTATCTATCGACCATCTATTACCTATCTATCATTTATCTACTATCTATCATTAGCTATCTATCATCTATTACCTATATATCATCTATTATGTATCTAGCATCTATTATTTATCTATACCTATCATTTAGCTATTATCTATCACCTATTATTTATCATCTATTACCTATTTATCATTTATCTACTATCTATCACCTAGCTATCTATCATCTATCTGTGTTAGGCAATGCCACTCACCTTAATTGGAGTTGGCTAAGAAACCTCATGGTTCCCTTAGGCGAGGTGGGAGATATAGAAATTAATATTAGAACCTCCTTAGTGAGATTGTTAATTGCCATCATTAATTTCTCGGAAAACTGTAAGAAAACTATGTACAACCCTCAACCTAGGGCATGGCTAAAGTCATCCTTACTTTTTATCTTTATAAAGACAGAGCAAAACCTGCCCACTGTTCCGAAGATATCTGGGCTTGGAGTCCAGCTAGTCAGTGAGCACAGGCTGCAGCCAGGCAGTGAGCACACACTAGGGAGTGTCCGGGCTGGGCCTGTGACTGGGCTGCCTGCTGGCTCCTCCTCATGCCTGAGTGAGTAGAGAGGGTGGGCAGTACTGTGTCCGCACTCCCCACAGCCAGCACCTTGGCCCCCAGCTAATTCTCCTCCACAGACTTTGTCCAGTTTAGTCTTATGACCAAAAAAAATTTTTTTTTTTCACAGAAAGTGCAACTGATAAATAATTGTTTTTGGTAGGTGCTGAATATCCATCTATAATTAATATATGACTCCTTTAATTAATCTCACAATTAACATAATAAATAAAAAATTTCACTTTGAGGGAAACCAGCTAGGGAGAAGTCATGGTATGTATTTATTTGGCTAGAAACTGACTCGAAGCCTATTTATCTTAAGCTTCTTTTCTTCCCCCCAACATCTCCCGTTGCTCTCATAATCCCTCCCCTCCTCTCTTTTCTTCCTCTCTCGCTCCCTGCCCCTCTCTGAGTCTCGGGTAGCTGATCTGGTCTGAAAAGTCACGGTTTATCCAAGGAAGCATTTTCATTCTTGATTCTCTCATGTTCATGCCCCCAGTCCTGGGGTCACAGGGCCCCTACACCTGGCTTTATGTGGTACCGGGGATGGGCCTGGCACTTTGTGTGTGTTAGGCGAGCACTGACCAGCTTTTCTTTAATGAGGATGCTTTCTGTCTAGAATAGAGTAAAAAGCAGGTCTGGTCGCCATGGAGGAGGCCACCATTTGGTGATGGAGCAAGTGTTGTGGTTGTATGAGAGGACAGGGTACCTGATGCTGTATACTGGGTCCCCTTGGGTGTCTCTTCCCACCAAATATTGCAGAAAATGCAGGAGAGTAAAAATGCTAAGCATGCCAGTAACCCATAGATAAAGTAAGAATTTCATCCAAATATCAAACAAATGTGAAGATTCAATTTTTCTCTCCTCCAGACTCAAAGGAAGGCACTCCCCAGTGTCACTAGCAAATACTCAGAGTTGTGCCGCTGGGTTCTGGTGCTTGGCATGGAGATGGAGGCGGTTTAACGCACAATATTTCAGGGTCCAGGCCTAAGACTTTCTGATTTCTCTGCCTCTCCCACAGCCCCCAGAGGCCACCCATTGATGTGGGGATATCACGAAATGGGATAACCCTGAAACCTGAGCCACTCCTTGGAGCAAACTCTCCAACTAGTATCAAGTGTGCTATGTCATTTCACAGACTTAGGAGTGTTGCTGAAACTAATTGTATTCATTCTGAATAGTGTAGAAATTGGTTCATTGAAAAGAGATGCTGCCATTAAAAAAAAAAAGTGTGTGTGTCTCTTGTATGTCTCTGGCCTTGTGGCCACACTGTGAAGAGCAGGAAAACTGATAGCCACTAGTTCACACCCAGCACTCAGGAAGCAGAGGAAGACAGATTTCTGTGAGTTCAAGGCCACCCTGGGCTACATGAGATTGATCCAATCTAAAAGAGAAACAGAGCCAGGCGGTGGTGGCTCACACCTCCAATGCCAGTACTTGGGGTTCACACGCCTTTAATCCCAGCACTAGGGAGGTGGAGACAGGAGTGGCATGGCTGGGCGGAGGGAGGGGACAGGAGCTCGTTGCATTCAGTCTGAGGATTCGTAGGGACGGGATCGCCCCTTTGGGCTGAGGACTCAGCAGAGGTGAGAGCTAGTGGCCGCTGCTCTGCTTCCCTGACCTTTCAGCATTAACCCTATATCTGACTCTGGGCTTTTACTATTAAAACCAATTAGAATTGGAGCTACACTTGGGAGGTGGAGGAGGGAGGATCAGAAGTTCAGGGTCATTTTCAGCTACACAGCAAGCTAGAGGCCTGTACTGCAAGACCATGTATGGAAGATCAAACCCCAAGGAAACACCTTGTACTTGAGTGTCAGTTTGAGACCCAGATCTGACTATATGTGATCCCCAACAGGCACACAAAGGCTGTAAGTAGAAACATGGGTACAAATACATTGGGAAAACTCTAAACCAGAAGAAAGCAGGCTCCTTAATTACTGCCAAGAAAAATAGACTCAGAAAAAGCAATCTCTATAACACAAAGAAGGTTATTCTTAATAATAAAAGTTTGATGTTACCAGGAAGCTATAAAACTTAAAATATGTGTGCACTAGATAATCCAGACTCGAGACAGAACCAACCACTCGAGCAACAGATACACCACAATCGCAGCAGAGGTATTTTTAAGAACTACTTTCTCAGTAATTGCCATAACAAACAGTAGACAAGAAGCCAGGTTATAAAATGCAGCATGTCATAAAACTTGTCTCCCCGCAGCATTGAGGCAGTGCTGTGAGCCAGGGCACGGGTGTAGCAGACTCATCCTAGTTAAGTGTGTAGGAATATTTCCAACATACCAAGCCAAGGAGAAGCGACAGACAGAATGTAAAGCCTTAAAACCAACAACAACATACGTCCTTTGACTTTAGTACAACAGAGCCAGAACCCAGGGACACAACTAGAAATCCCACATGTAGTGATACCCACCTCCACACCTGCAGCACTGACCACGCCCAAAAGGCGTGACCAGGGAAAAGGATGTGGTTTGGGGGCCTGGAGCTTTCTCTTGCTGCCTGGCGGGTCTCCTGGTCTCTGAGAGCATCCGGGTGGCAGGGTCGGCATCCTTGGAGCGGGAACTAATGGCAGTCATCTATTTTCTGTGTACGTGACTTGTCCCCGAGTAAAGTTCACTTAACTTGTACTGAGTCTGGTGAATCTTGATTCCCACGAGATAACCACACATGCTCGAAAATGAAGAACCATACTTCTAATTAACCTTCAAGCCCAAGGTTAAATCAAAGGTGGAATTAAGATGTATTTAGAGTCAAACAAGGAAAAATCGACAGAGTTCTTAGAAGGAAACAGAAGTCTTACATGACTATGTAAGGGGGAAAAAATAGACTGAAAATTGTATGTTAAGAAGTTAGAAAAGAACAAAATATGTAGAATGGAGAAGGTAATTAAGATAAGATGCACGATTAATTGAAATTGGAAAACATCATTGACTCGGAGAGGATCAACAAGCTACAAGCTGGTTCTTTGAAGAAGCTAATTAAATTGATGGCTCTCCACAAGGCTAGTGAAAACTGAGGAGACCAAGCGTGCGTCGTCATTCCAAGAAAGGTATGGCATAAACACAGTTGGCACATATCCCTAACAAAGGAGAAGGCACCCTCAGCTTCCTGACAGTAACACCACACAAGAAGAGCCCATCTCAGAAACGAAGCACTTTATCGAAACAAGGCCGAGAAGTAGAGCTAGGCAAACTCCCCACCCCACAGATGGCCTCCCTAGGAATTCTACCAAACTCTCAGAGAACAAATGATTCCAAAACCACACCAAGATTCTGCCTTAAAAAAAAAAAAAAAAAGAAAGAAAGAAAGAAAGAAAAGAAAAGAAATAAATATTTCTCAGGGTTTTTTTTTTTTTGCAGTAATTAACATATGCTTGATACCAAAACCTGAGAAGGGTTATGTAAAATTTAAAAACCTACAGGCCGACTTATCAAAATGGATGCAAAAACCTTACAGATTACTAGCAAATCGAACCCATTCACTTACATTTATTAAACTTGTTCATTTTATTTTTAAAAATGCACCACAGACAAATTGGATTTACTCTGTGAATGTGAATATTCAACAACATAGAAACTCAGTTTTCAAAAATAATGTGTCTGTGTGGGTATGCTCCTGTGAGTACAGTTGCCAGTGGGGGCCGGAAGGGGGCATGAGAGGTCCCTGGAGCTGGAGGTTGTGAGCCTCTCAGTATGGCGGCTGACAACCAAAAATGTCCTCTGCACGAGCAGCTCATAATTGTAGCCACTGAGCCAGCCCTCCAGCCCCTTTATGGCTATCTTAATGTGATTTTCGTTTTCTTCTTTTGGGGTAGAATAAATCTGATCTCTCTCTATTTTCTTCCTTTCTTTTTCTGATTGGCATGAGAAATAGGACAGGAGGTGATGTTTCTGTTTGTGCATATGTGTGTAAAGATCAAATTAGGGTAATTAGCATACATGTCCTCTCCATCATTGATAATCTCTTTTTGGTGAGAACATTCAGAATTCTCTCTTGTGCCTCTCTGAAATACACAATGCACCATTGTTAATTACTAATGTGATTATCTTACATGCAGAACAATGGTCTGATAAAATTAAAGATCTATTCATGATAAATACTTAACAAAAGAAAACTGATAAAAGTTTTTCATTAAAGAAAAATCTGCAAAAGTGTCAGGCTTGTGGAAATATTGGAAGTATTGTCTTTGCAGTCAAGAAAACAAGGTCATTTGTTATTAAGACTTCATCTTTTCAGTGGGCACCAGAAGTCCTAGCCGGCGCTGCACGGTCACGTAGTAGGAAGACTCAAACAGCACGAAAGAAGAAAAACAAAAACGTGTTGTTTGCACATGATATGATCGTGCCCAAAGATCTAAAAGACTCCATGGATGAATCATCAGAATTAAGGAAGGGGGCTTCCAGGTGCAACATATTAACCCTCAGAATCCTGGCTCGAATTAGCAAAGGCTGTTTCAAAATCTGTCCGGTCTTTCTGGAGGAAATGATGTGAGAATCATAAACTTGGAAAGCTGAGGCAGATGGAGTGTGTTATCTTCATAGATGAGAAGATTGCATAACACAGAGTTAAACTTCTTCCCACGCTGCCTGCTGGATTACTGCAGTCTGAATGAAGCGGGCTCGGGGTTCTGTGTCTGCCTTGCTGCGGACAGTGCTGCTTCTCAAGTCAACACAGAAGCCAGAGGCCAGCACAGTCTTAGAGTAAAGCCAGGCAGGCCTGTTAGCCACGCCTCTCATCACTGTAATCAAACGCCTAACAGAAGGGTCTTAAGAGAGTTTAGGGGGCACAGTCTGCTATGCAGGAAGGTACGGTGGTAGCAGCGACGTCAGGGGTCCCAGCCAGAGAGAGGTGATGGCTGCTGCTCAGCTGACTCTGTCCATTTTATTCTGCCCCCCCCCCCCATCAATCTGCAGGGTCTCTCACACTCAGGGCAATCTTCCCTTCTCAGTTAATCCCCACAAAGGCACTCTCCTCGGGAGTTCAAAGCCCAGTCAAGTTGGCAATGAAGGCTGAAGCAGCAGTAACGGTGGGTGACTGGGTTTTACCGACACAGGCATGTTCTAAGCTGCGGTAATTAAGACCGCACGGCACTAGAGCAGGTGCCAGCGCCAAGACAGACCTGTAGATGACGGAGCACGCCCTAAGTCACCGTGACAAGCCGTGGCGGCTGGGGAAAGGCCGGAAGAGTTGCATGGAGTTTTCTCTCCCCCACCCCCTTCTCCTTCCTCTTCCCAACCAATCAGTGTGTGTGTGTGTGTGTGTGTGTGTGTGTAAGAGTGCCTTCTTACACACGGGCTATGCTCAGCATCGGGATAGAGTGGCAGGAGAGAAAGCCTGGCTTTAGCTATGTGACTAGAAGGAAGACGTGACGGTTATAATCAGAGACAGGCAGGCTTGTTTGAGTAACAAACCCTGTTTCAGATACTGGAGTGTGGTCACCCGCTGTGCAGAGTGGATGAGCTGAACACAGAAGGCCGGAGACCAGTCGAACCAAGTGAAGACTTGGGAAGAAGCCATGGGGCCAGCATGGAGAGAAACGGCTTTGGAGGGCAGAGGGGAGGGGGCTGGGCTTGTTGCTGACATGTAATTAATAACGCCGATGGGCCATGGAAGAGATTGCACACATGGAACTGGAAGATTTGTGGATTGATTGACATGTTGAAATCAGAAGGTAGGTGGGTAGCAGGCACGCTCCTGCCTCCATTTCACAAAACAGGAGAGGAGTGGGGAGCTCCCTGGTAGAGTCCCCAAGGGACCCAGTGTCCATGGGCTCTAACTGTTAACAAACACCGCAGGGTTGGTTGGGTCATTCCCGTTCTGGTATGATAAAACCTGGGGGCAGGCACACCAGTTCTTGGAGCTTGCCTCTTGCTTGCTTCCAAGAGCCATTGAAACCCTAAGCATCCTCCATATGGCTTGGGGACTTGAGGACATTAGTGACCTCAGACTCTCCTGGGACTCTCATAGGTTTGGCTGACAAAAGCGGTTGAGTTGTGAGTGGCGGGCAGACAATGGACACCAGTGACTGAGTAGAGGAACGCCTCCAGTAGAGGGCGCCCTGGAGCTGAGTTTGGGAACGAGCCCATGCAGAGGTTAAAGGCAGGGAGGCTTTCCTGTGTGTGCAGCCCTGGGCTCTGATTTGGGGAAACAAGGATAAGAGAATGCCTTTTTGAGGTGGGTTGGGGCTGAGACTCAGCAGTCAGGCGGTGTGGACCTGAGTTCCGGATCAGACACTAGCATGGCATCCTGGAGGCTGGGAGACATTGGGTTCATCGTTAAAGCAATAGTGCCCGTTACATCAAGAGTGTCATACTATGGTTTAGCCACACCTTCAGAAAATGTTAGCTGTTGGGACTTCATGGCTGGGGCTGCTCTTTGGTAAGAGAAACGGGGTGCTGTTCAGAGGTCCCCTCCACAGATGAGGGGACTAAGGCACAAAGATAGGAACGCCCTCACCTTGCATCAGTGAAAAGCTGATTGCAACCATGCCTGTCCCCTGGGGTGGGGGTGGGGGGCAGCCTCCCTGAGTCTGTGTGGGAGTTTCCCAAGTGGCCAAGAGATAACATTACCAAGCGGAAGGTCCGAAGCACAGACAGGCTGCCCTTCTTGGATATGCTCAGCTCCAGCAGGCTCACGGTGACGATGACGCAGTCAAAGACGTTCCACTTCTTCTGGAAGTAGTAGTAGGGGTCGAAGGCAATGATCTTGAAGGCCATCTCCATTGTAAAAAACACCGTGAAGACCTGAGGGTGGGAACAGGGTTCATCCCTATGAGGGCTTTTGCCTTGGGGGTAATGAAGACAAGGACAGCAAGGAAAATCTTGTTTACCAGAGAGCTAAGCATGCTGGGTGTGCTGGCACATGCCTCCAAAGCCAGCCTTCAGAAGGCTGTGGCAGGAGGATCTCAGGGTTGAGGCCAGGCTGGGCTGTACAACAAGATCCTGTCTGAAAAGAGCATTAAAAGTAAAAATAGAAGGAAACAGCAAACCCTTTTGCTTTGTTCTTGAGGACTGTGGACGGGAATTTCTGAGCCACTTAGAACCCAGGGCTCTGTCTTCTCCTCTCCCTGCTCTGTCTGTCTCCGTCTTTCTCTCTATCCCTGTGTCTGTCTGTGTGTGTTCCCCTGTGTGGGTATACTGTGTGTGCGTGTGTGCGCGTGCGCGCGCGCATGCGTGCACGCTCATGCGTGTGGGGACCTCAACCACTCTCTACTGCATAGAGGCAGGGTCTCTCACTTGAACCCAGAGCTCACCTACTCTGCCTCTCCAGAGCAAGCTTGCTCTAGGCATCTCCTACCTCAGCCTTCTGAGTGCTGGGTTACGACACCTACCCGCTCGCACTTCCGTGGGTGCTGGGATCTAAACTCCCTCCAGTCCCCGGGCAGAGCAAGTGCTCTACCTGCTGAGGTGTCCTCCTCTCTCTAGGGGACGGTGGTGCAGAGCAAGGACATAACCAACCGTAAGAATAAACCACTGTATAATTATGTCAACACATGTCAGCCTGGTCCAGCAGTTAAAATGTGTGGGTTGCGAGACAACACAGACTAAGATAAAAATTCAGCCCAGCCACTTCCTAGTTTTTGTAAGCCTAGATAATCAGTACACCCTTTCCATGCCTCAACTTCCTCATCTGTGTAATGGGTATAATGGGAGCACATGTCTGGGTTACATGCCCTCGGTAGGCAGTAACTCATGACTTAGATCAGCAATCTATGGTCTTCTTAAGCTTCCCTTTTGCTCTGTGTCTTCAATCGTCTTGTGTAGGACAGAACTCTGACCTTAAAGGAGGTCAGCATCAGGTAACAAAAGGCGGAAAGGGAAAGAGGCAGAGAAGAGAGGGAGAAAAAAGGGTGGGGGCCAGGGCTTGCCGCCCCCCCCCCGGGCTTTTACCACAGCCACCCCAGGGGCTGGAAACAGGTGCTGGAATGGAGGAGAGTGTCCCCGGCTTGTGCAAGTTTAAAGTAACATCGTATAGGACAATTCAATTTTCTGGACGCAATTGCTACATGGCACACATATGTGGGCCTTCTGTCCCCTGCTCCGCCCTCTACGCCTCAGGGACCACACTGCAAACCATATCCAGGGGCTAGGAAGATGACCCAAAGCAGGGGCGACCCCTGTTTAATCCCCACAGCCCCTTAAGAAGCCGGGCATGGTGGGACACACTTGTCACAGCAGAGCTGGGAGGCAGAGGCAGGAGGCTCCCTGGGGCTCACTGGCAGCCAGCCTACAGCCTAGCTGAACCTGATGAAGCTCGTGTTCAGCTAGAGACTCTGTCCCCAAAACAATGGGGCCGAGAGGAGGGGACAGGAAAGAATGTTATAAAAATATACTGCATGAAATTCTTAACGAATATATAAATACATAAAAATGACAACAAAAATGGATGGCCCCTCAGGAATAATCCGAGATTGTCCTTTGGCTTTTGCACCATTTAGACATGAACACACACGTGCGCGCGCACACACACACAGACACACACACACACACACACACACACAGACACACACACTCCATAGATTGTCGTGGATGGGTAAGTGACCTCATTTCTGAGTAGAGTCCTGCAAGACCTACCTAATCCAAGTGGCTAATTCCACGGTCTATACCGGGATCTAAATCATCCTACCACAGGGCTCCCTGCATCCACTTTCTTCGTTATCTCAAAGCAACTCCCTCCGGCTCAGCTCGGCTCCTCCAGCTCTGACTTCCTGAGTTTGGTGTCCACACATCCCCATCAGCACTCCACCACTCCACTCTCAGAGAGACGCACCACACACCACCCAGTGAAAGCAGGCAGCCACCCACCCAAAGCGCCCCACCGTGACGGCTGGGGCAATCCACCGGTACTGCCAGGTCACTCACAATGTTGCCGGCTTGGAGCATGGCGTCAAAGGCTTCTGTCATGGGGTAGTGCTCCATGGCCATGAAGATGGTGTTCACCACGATGCAGAGGGTGATGGTGAGCTCTGCGAAGGGGTCCGTAACCAGCTCGAAGAGGACCATCTTGAACTTCATCCACTTGGGGCAGCACTCCCAGATCAGATACTTCTGAGCCAAGCTGATCAAGCAGGGCGGGCACCTCAGCTTAGAATCTTCAAGCTCTGCATGGGGGTGGAGTCCATGACATCTGTCACTCACGTGTGGTCGTATTCTAGACCCTTCCATACCAATACGGGTCACCTTCAAAGTCTCGCTCCAGCCCTCATCTCTGTGTCTCCCATTTCCTACTTGTGGAACAATGGGACTTTGATCCTGTCGCCCCAACCCATCCATTCACCCAGTCTGCCACTGTTGGTGTATCTCCTCTCTCTCTCTCTCCCTCCCTCCCTCCCTCTCTGTATACACATGTACATGGTGATAAGCATACACATTCATGTATTTAAGTGTAAAAAACAGAGGACAACTTTACTTGTCATGCCTCAGGCATTGACCCCTCTGCTCCCTCTTCCTCCTGATGCAGCCCTGCCTAGCCAAGAACTCACTCTGTAGACCAGGCTGGCCTCAAACTCACAGAGATCCACCTGCCTCTGCCTCCCGAGTGCTGGGATTAAAGGCGGGTGCTGCCATGCCTGGTAAGATGGTCTTCTGCTAGCCTGGAACCCGCTAAGTAGGTGAGGCTGGCCTGCCTGCAAGCCCCGAGGATGTCTGACCTGCCAGCACAGGGGCTGCCAAGTGTTCACTGCCGCTTGCCCGCGGCAAACTCAGGATCTCAAGCTGGCAAACACCGGCTGAGCTCTCCCTGCAGCCTGACCTCGCTCATTAACTGCCCGTTGCCCATATCATGCCCTTACTTCTCAATTCACTCACGTGGATTTCGCACCCACCCCCCTGATGACTCCCTTTTGGATATGCTCATTTCCTCTGCCACTCCCTCCTTCTTTGTCTACCTGGCAAAGCACCCTATGAGTAAAAACCAAACTTGCACCCCAAAAAATGCACAGCCAACCTTACCTAAGCCATCCTTGAGCCCCTGACTATTCCTGCCCAGGAGCTCTGTAGGGGGTGACTGGTCCCCTTGAGTCAGAGACATCATCCAGCATGCAGTGAAACCCAGTATGATTTTTATTTTAAAAAACTGGAAAATGATTTAAAAAAATTTAGACCCATTCACAGAACACCTTCCTTTTCCTCCTGCCACCGAGTTCCCAGTGGATCTGCACCCTGGCCATCTCCTGCCTCCATGTCTGCAGGAGGAGCTGCAGCCTCTCCATCTCCTGCCTCCATGTCTTCAGGAGCAAGGAGGAGCTGCAGCCTCTCCATCTCCTGTCTCCATGTCTGCAGGAGCTGCAGCCTCTCCATCTCCCATCTCCATGTCTGCAGGAGGAGCTGCAGCCTCTCCATCTCCTGCCTCCATGTCTTCAGGAGCAAGGAGGAGCTGCAGCCTCTCCATCTCCCGTCTCCATGTCTGCAGGAGGAGCTGCACCCTCCGACTTACATAGAACTCTTCCCTTCTCGCCTACCCAGCCCCCTCCTTCACCCCTGGGTTTCTCCCATGGATCCGCTCACTTTAGGTGTATCTCAGCTTTAGAAGAGGTCCTCTGGACCTTCAGTCTGCCCTCCCTCCACCCCTCCCTCCCTCTCCCTCCCTTCCCTGATCTTCTGCCTCTTCAACAGCACACTTCCTTAGAAGTTTTCTAAATGTAGCCTCCATTTTTCCCTCCTCTTCTCCGGAGACTCTGGTGTCTGACCCTAGCCCACCCCACACCCCATTCCAGCAGAATGCAGCCCTGTCTCTTGCAGCACTGACAGCATTGTGAGCCAGGCTAGGCTAACGCCTGTGGTTTCTCTCCTCTCCATGGCTGCTGTTCACTTAGTTTTTGTCTCTTGCTTCCTCTCCTGGCTTGAGGAAGCACAAACACTCTTGACCTCCATCTCTTCGCTGTCTCCCTAGGTAACCTTATCGAACCCCAATGGCCCTACAAAACCAGGTCCATGCAGATCACTCCTAAATTATATGTCCAGCTCCTGACTTCTCTTTCCCTTGAGCCACAGGCGCATCCCTGCTGCAGCCTCCATTACATATCTGCTTGGCTGTATAATTGGGGCCATCTCTTTGGAGGGCGATTTCATAGTTTTAGGCTTGTCTATAAATTCTACTGCATGCAGTACATCCTGAAGATAGACATACAGCTGACATGGGCATTTCCCCCATTTCTTCTTACACACGCTCTTTGCATATGAAGCCTCTGCCTCTTCCACTGTAAGGTTTTTTTTTTTTTTTTTTTTAAACTATATGTGTTTTCTCCTTTCTGTGTAGTCTCTTTTCCATGTCAACCTTTGGTGGTGCATTTGCAGTTTATTTTGGGTAAGAAGCAATGTATTGGTATAGTCCTTTTCTTTGGTTGTTTGTTTTAGCAGTGTTTATTGAATCATCTGGTTTTCCTAAGAAGTCGAAGTGGCATTTCCATCCTGATTCTTCTGTGTGTTCCCACGAAATATGTCCATTCCTCTTCCACAGACCAGGCTATTTATTTCCTCTACCATGCTGTGCTAATTACCCACTGTGAGTTTTTCAAACTACAGATGTCAAAACTGGCAAAGCATAGTTTTGTACAGAAGCTGATGTGTTCTGGAAGCAAAATCAATCATCCCTATGTGGAAGGAAAGCAGACCTGTTTTGGCACCAAACGGTAGACAGGTAACGCTCTGTGGGAAGAGCCTGTCTGAGGCACTGTGTGTGTGTGTGTGTGTGTGCGCGCGCGTGTGCGTGTGTGTGCGCGTGTGCGTGTGTGTGTGCATGTGTGTGTGCATGTGTGTGTGTGTGCGTGCGTGTGCGTGCGTGTGTGTGTGTGCGCGCGCGTGTGCGTGTGTGTGTGCGTGTGTGCGCGCGCGTGTGCGTGCGTGTGTGTGTGCGCGTGTGTGTGTGCGTGTGTGTGAGTGTGCTTACAGATGCCAGAGGTCAATGTCAGTGTCTTCCTCAGTCATACCTTTAATCCTAGCACTTGGGAGGCAGAGACAGGCAGAGCTCTGTGAGTTTGAGGCAAGCCTAGCCTACAAAGTGAGTTCTAGGACAGCCAGAGCTACACACCCTGTCTTGGGGTGGGGGAAACAAAAAACCAGGGTCTCCCTAAGAAACTGGATCTCACTCTTTGGCTAGATGGGCTATCCAGAAAGATCTGGGGATCTGCCTGTCTCCACCCTCAGAGCTGAGGTCAGAGGTACCTATCGACTCCTGTGATCAGCTTTTATGGGGGCTGGGTAGCCAAATTCAGGTTCTCGGGCTTCCCCAGTGGATGCTTTATCAATGGAATCCCCTCTGTGCTATAACAACTGTGGCTGATCTTGACTGGCTAAGGGCACAGAGACAAGAACAACCAACCACACCTTGGCTAGCCTGGAGTGTGAGTGTGTACCCGTTCTCAGCAGTCTTTGGGAAGAACTCTCTCCTGGTGGGAGCATCCTCCCTTGAGATAACGCCAAGGTCCCCACTTGAGCGCCCTTCCCTACCACTTCCAGAATCTACTTGAGTGCCCCTCTGCACCCTTTCAGTCCCCCATTCTCCCAGATCCTCCCGGCTGTGGGAAAACGCAAGCTCAAAAAAACCGGGAAGGCTCCTTTCCGCCCACTCTCCGTGTCAGTTTCTCTCCTCGGCCACAGGAGAAGCTCTTGACGAAGCAACCGAGCACAGCATCTCCACCTCCTCACTTAGTCTTTGTGTGTGGGCTCTGCTCGCTGTTCAGCCGTGACGATGCTGGTGTGCGTGTGTGTGTGTGCACGCTCATGCCTGTGCAAGTGCACCAGTGATGTGGGTGCACTTGTGTATGGGTAGGCCAAAGGACCACGCTCACTTTTCAGGTACCATCCAGCCTTGTTTTTGTGTTTGTTGTTGTGTTGCATATGCTGCATGCGTGAGACAGCGGAGGTTAGTGCGCCCGGGCACTCAAACGTAGAGGGCAAAGCAAGGCTCCGGGTGCTGGCTTCACCACGCTGCGTGTTGTTGCCTTGGGACAGGGTCTCTCATTGCACATAAATTCACCGATTCGGCTAGGCTGTCCAGTGAGCTCCTGCGGTTCCCCCGGTGAGTAAAGCTGCAGTGCACATCACCTGACATCACCGCAGCTTTGCCTCTGCTGACCTTTCTATCCTCCTGGGAGGAATTTGGACACTCTTTTCCACTTCCGGGTCCTCTCTTATCTTATTTCCTTCTGACTCTTCCAGCGGCTCCATCTCTTCTGCTCAACGACTAACTAGGCATTGTAATTCCTAAAACCCCGCCCAGCTCTCCTCTCAAAGCCACCCTCTGGGCTCAGGCTGCTGTGGGGTATGTATCTATCTCTAGGTTCCTCCCCTCATCTGAATTCTAGAACCATTCATCATTAAGCCAGCTTCCTACGAGACACTGCTGCCTGGATGTTCCCAGGGCACTTCACACTCAGCATGCCCCAGACTCTTGTGCACCTCATGGCTTCCCTCCGAGGCCGTCTGCTCCTCCCCACGATGCTCTCTTTGGTCATTGCACCAGTGTACCAGTGTCCCGTCGGCTGGCTGCTCGTCTGAGAGCCATGGGCATCATGAACTCCTGCAGAGACCTGTTCAGTCCTTCCATGGCCTATCATCCTTGTTGCTGCTCTCCCAGAGTCTGAGACTTCCAAGTGTCATCCGATTTCCTCCTGCTTTCCCTGCCAACCACCTCCCACTTAGATCCCAGTCTCTGCAAGTTCCAAAACGACCTTAATGAAATCCAAATCGCACTCTCCTGCCTCCAGCCCTTTAATGGCACCCCACTGCTCTTGGATGAAACCCAAATGTCCTTTAGAGCCCAGGGGCTTTTATAGCTCTGGCCCCAGCCTGCTTCCCTGTGCCTTGGTGTCTATGTTCCGGATAGCTCAGGCTTTTAACGGCAGCTTCAGGAGCTGTCTGCCTAGGGTGCTTCCCGGACCCCAGAGAGACTCCCTCCACTTCTCTTAGCATCCTGCATTCCTCCGCCAAGACCCTCGTCACCCCACCCGACTTGTCTCGTGTCCTTCTCTCCTGCTGTGTGTGGGAACAACTGTGCTCAGAGTTGTGAGCCTGCGTCGGGCCTTCTGGTTTGGATAACTGTCAAGTCTCAGCTTGCATGCCAAGCGCGGGTGTCTCACAGGTCCAGTTAAGCGAGCACCCTTGCTCTCCAGCCAGACCTTCTACACAATCACCCTGGAGGAAGTGGCCCTGTGGATCCCATCAAGACGCTGACAGCATGAGGCACCCTCCATGGGCCCCATAATGGATGTAGCACCCAGCTTGGGAAGATGGTGTACTTTATGCTTAGAAACTCCGGCCTAACCTGGAGTCATCGTACCCAGCTTTAAAGGATGTCTCCCGACCTTCCTACCCTCCCTACCGCTCTCGTAGTCCCGTCTCCCTGGTTATTCTTGGTTTTACTTTTCCATCTGCTCAGTTCAGTACACATCAGCGCCACCCTCCAAACACCTCGTTTGTACAGCGTGCTCATTCACCACGTGCTGCACACTAGGCACCGGAGACCCGGCTGTGAGCAAAGGAGCCACATCTCTCGCCCTCTCAGGGTTTAAGTCTTGTGGATGACAGTAGGTGATGTCTGGTTTGGTTACTGAGTATTTGACCTGAGTCATTGAACCCTCACAAAACACTGCAGGGTAATTATACTTACAATATGTTGCCACCAAGAAAACCAGAGACACAGAAAGTCAGGAGAACCCCAGAGTCATGCAATCTGCTATAAATGGCAGAGCCCAGAGGCAAACCCGGGTGCATGGGCTCCAGATCTGTGTTCTCAGCCCCTGCTGCCTCTCCAGGCTTCGGCCCACTCTGGTCTAAAGTGGACGTGTTTGGAGTCACATCCTCCTCACTCCCATGTTTCTCTCTCCTTTGCTTAGTTTTTCGAGACAGGTTTTCACTATGTAACAGCCCTGGCTGTTCTGGCACTCGCTCTGTAGACCAGGCTGGCCTCGAACTCACAGAGATCCACCTGCCTCTGCCTCCTGAGTGCTGGGATTAAAGGTGTGTGCCACCACCACCCTGTCCATCTTTCTTTTTGAGTGAGGTCATATGGCACAGCCCTAGCTGGTCTAGAACTCACTCCTCTTACTTCATCCACCCTAGTTCTAGAATCTGGGGAGAGGGGAGATACACGACCACAGACAGCGTCTGCCTTTTATCCCTGAAACATTCGCTAGGTGCTCATGTCTGAGGAGCTTTCTCTCACGGTTTCAGGTGCTGACTCCCCTTGCTCCATTCAGATTTCTGGTCTTCCCAGGGAGGCTGCCTTTCACCACCAACCATCTAAACCTGTCCTAGTAAAGCCCCGGCTCTCCACTGCCTGGCTTTGCCTTTCCTCCCATCCGCCATCACCATTTCCTCTCTACCGTGCTGATTGTCTGTGACCAGGGCAGCACAGTGAATGAGAGCAGGTGTGTGTCTTGCTCTCATGGAAGCTCAGGCTCCTGGAACAATGCCAGACATCTAACAGATGTTTGAATAAATAAATCTTTTTTTTTTTTTTTTTTAGAAGTTCTAGGGAATAATTGAAAACTCAAGCTATTTGAATTGTCCAGAGCACGCTCCGAGGCCATCCTGGCCTTCTTTATTGGGTGTGTAAGGAGATGGCTTTGTCTGAAACAAGGTTCTCCTCACTCCGTGGTGAAGTGAAAACTAGAGTATAAAAAAGCCTCCGTACTCAGAGAAGAGGTCACAACCACGCCGTCTGGGGACTTGTGTACGGATGCCCATCCCCCAGTGCCATCCCCTTTCTCCTCCTGCCCCTCGGCTGGACCACACACATCCCTCAGGACACTGAGTTGGTGCTGCTTGATTGGCAGAACCCAGAATTGAAAAGGATTTGATGAATGGGTTGACGAATTTACTTACATTGTCTTCCCATGTTTGGCACAATGGGAGCTTGAGACAGAAATGAAGTCACAAGAGTGAACATTATAGCCGTGGAGAGCATGAGGAATAACCGTGCCATGCCAGGAAATGAAGGGCTGTTGGGTTCCTTGCATACCTCGTTGGAATTTAAAAAGTGGTTCGAGAGAGAAAGATGCCAAGCAGCAGAGCTCAGTAGGGGAGGAAAGGGAATGGGAAAAGAAGGGGGGGTAAGAAACCAGCCTCCGGAGACATGAGTAGCATAGGGTAAAGAGGTGGGGGGGGCAGAGAGACAGGCAGAGAAGCAAAGAGAGAGAGAGCGAGAGAAAGAGAGAGAGAGAGAGAGAGAGAGAGAGAGAGAGAGAGAGAGAGAAATGGGAGGTGGGCAGGGCCCTTTTAAAAGGGAGCACAGTGAATGTGCACAGGTGATGCTCTTAGTGGCTGCAGCTGAGGGCGTGTCCTGTCAGGACCCCAAGGACAGGCCAGTGCAGATGCCTGAGTGCTAACATCTGGGAGGTGGTACTAAGACCTCGAGAAATCATAGTTGAGAGAGCAGTGATGGTTTCCTATGATTTATAGTTGCCTTTCTGAGGAAGTTTTCCATTCATTGCAAGACCTTAGTCACAAGACTGCCCAGACGCACTGGGAGCGTCTTGCATTATGGGTACTGACAGTGCACAGTAAGGACTAAAGCTGTATACCAAAGGTGGGGGGGGGTTCCTTCAGAGAACGTATAGCATATCTCGAAGGGGCTTTGGTATGAGTAACTTGCTGTGCCCCGCCCCCAAATAACTTTGTGTAACCATCAATAAATAAGCCTTTGCAGGGCTGTCTGAGGTTCAGTTCACAGAAGGAGTCTCTCCCTCCTGCCAGAGAGCCTAAAGTCGCATTCAGGGGTGGCTCTCCTTTGAACATCTGTGAAACACAAAACACCGCCAGGGAGCATCTAGGCTCTCATGCTGCAGAGAGGGGACTCTTCACAGCACGGAGGACGGACATGGCAAAGAGCACCACTTACCCTCAATGACAGATGTCATGATACTGACCACGCTCATTGCCCTCTGTGCTCGAAAAGGTTCATTCAAGTACTCTGCAGACAGAAAATTCTTCTTCTGCCCCGCAGCCTCAAGTGCCTGCTGGGACACAAGCAGGGTCAGGACACTTCAGCAACAGAGCTAGGTCATCAAGCCTCTTATTGGCTGGTCCCACACAATTGCCAGCTGCCCTGTGAAGCCATGAGCCTCTAAGGTAAAGCTCTGAGAAATGGGGATGGTGTTTTGGCTCAGCTGTAGGGACCAGCACACACAGGCAGGAGCCAGAGCTCAGGTGGGAGTTATGAGCCCAGCCAATGAGATCTGCAAAGTTTAGTAGGAGAAAGAGCTTGCTGAGCCCCAGCGGAGGTAAGGAGGCTTCGAAACATAGGGACCTTACTAAATACATCTGAGTGTAGGTCCTTATGATACAGAAGGGCTTAGAGTCTCCTCACACTACCTGGGTATTTTCACCAGAAAATGTGGGAAGTCACATTTTTACACACATTCTTATTAGCCAATGCATCTAATTATAGCAGAGTGAATCATGGGTAAAGACAACTTCTAACAAACCATCCCAGGCTGCTTGGGGAGTGGACTTGGGACGGACAGACAGGAAGGAATTCATCAATCCTGATGCTACCGGCTGTGGGTGCTTGGCTGGGACAGCTCTTAAACTGCAGGGTTTACTTCCTGCATTGCAAAAACAGGCTTTGCTCTCTCAGGCTGGGCTTGGTATGGGTTCTTCTTCCAATGGACCACAGAGCTAGGATTGAGGCTGTGATGGGGGACCTGAGAGAATTCCTGAGGTGAGATCTCCCCATGCACAACCCTAAGACCCCCAGGGAGCCCTGAAGCCTGGCTGTGGGTTCAGGACTCTAGGTTGGTGATTCTGTTTGGCTTGGAGATACACTTTTCACCTGTCATCCTGCTGGGTGTTCAGAGAGGGCAACCCGAGCAAAACAGTCACCCTGTAGCTCTGGTCAGGCTTGGCCAACAGGAAACACAAACTGGACAGTAGGGAAGGAATGGGGAGGGAAGGAAGGAGAGAGAGACAGAGAGAGAGAAGGGAGAGAAAGGGGGAGGGACAGAGAGACGGGGGGAGAGAGAGAGAGGGGAAGGGAGGGAGAGAGATAGGGAGGGAGGGAGGGAGAGAGGGGAGGGACAGAGAGATGGGGAGAGAGAGACAGAAAGAGGAGAGATAGGAGAGACGAAGGGAGGGAGGGAGGGAGGGAGGGAGGGAGGGAGGGAGAGGGGGAGGGAGAAGGGAGGGAGAGAAGCTGGCTGTCTATTCTGTCTCCTTGACAAGTTCTGATTTGGGGCCTTTTCCTTAGCTTTCAGCCTGGGCATGTGAGTCCAGCCAGGGCCACTGCCCTTCTATCAAGATGTGTCCTGAGAACCCCTGGGAATTTTGTCCAACCTCAGGGACAGTTTACTCAGAGCCCAAGGCTTAAATAGAGGGGCCCCTTATTTTCCTTGTCATCAGCAAATGACCACGTGGGGCCATCTCCAAAGCAACGGTGACAATAGGGACAGAAACACACATGATGTCAAATGGAAAATCCACTGCACCCCAGCCTGCAGAGAAGGTGGACTGCGCCTCAGCACGAACAACCCCAGTGGCTCTGCTGGGTCTGGCCTGCCTGCACAAGCAGAACTGGGTGGCAGGCACTGGGTGGGGGCAGGTGTGGTTAAAGGCTCTTCCATGGGTGACACCAGCTGGCAAAGGGTTTCTCCTGCAGCATGCGCGCACGGACTCACCAGGCCTTCGGGAGCTCCAGCGGGTACTGTGAGCTGTCCCTCTTCCCCATGTCCAGGGTTGGGAGACTGAGACAATGGGCTCCTGGGGAGAGGGCCTGCCTGTCCAGCACCCCTGCCCAGCAACAGGGAGCCCCGATGGCTTTCATGGTCTCCGTGAAAGACTCCATCATCTGTGATCCCGTCAGGAAAGGTGACCTCCTGGCTGGGCGCACGGAAGTGGAACACACTGCCGTGGCTAGCCCTGCGTCTCCCAGAAGACAGGCCTAGGAAAGACTGGGCATTGCCCCCAGAGGAGCAAGAGAAAAGATGGGATTGGAGTGGTCCCCCCTAAATCCAGTGCACACTCCCCTCCACCCAGACCTGGAGAGGACCTGCGTAGACGCGGAGAGGGAGCCAGGGAAAGGATGTCCTAGACAGACGTGGGGAAGGAACCGAGCAGTGGGCTGATGATGAGGTGCCTAAGATCATCAAACAGGTTATTGTTCCAGGTCAGCAGTTTGCTGCCTTCGGTAACACCCACACATGGCTGGTCTAGGCTCCCATTTGTGGTTCCCATCTGTGAGTGGAATCCCAGACCTAAGGAAATGCCTGCACTGGAGCTTAGAGTATGGGCTTTGAATGAATATGCTTTGCTGTCTGAAAAATTAAGATGTACAATTCACTGGATTCTATCTCTGTGTGAGGGATTGTTCTGGAATGGAGGAGACGAGCGCTTTATAGCGTAATGAGTTGGCAGGATCCCCTGAGGCCGGCTTTGAACAGTCAACAAAAGGGAGATTGAAGGAAGAGCTGCGGCCCAATTTCTTGGAAGAATAATGCCATTCTTCCAAATCGATAAACATTTCCCATCAAAGGCTTCCACCGAGTGAGAACTGTGAGGCTTACAGATCCAGAGGAACAGCTCAGGTTCTTAAATCCTCAGACACGGCACCCGGCAGAGCTCCTGGATGGGGTTAGCGAGTTCTCACATTGTGGGAACCTGGCCATAGCTGTCACCGGTCCTATGCTCACACATGGTGTCTCTGAAACCTAAATGGCTCCCTCCTGAACTCTGGTCACAGTGCCCTTAGTTGCTTCTTAATTCCTTTTATTTTCCGGATAACTAAAGGAGGACGTGCCGCTGTTACAATTCTCCTCACTTAGTGATACAACTGAGTTCGCCGCTCTCCCCTCTCTCGTTTGCGTCTCTCTGTGCTCTTGCCTGCGTGCACGGATCAGAGGATTGCCTCAGCGACGTTTCTCAGGTCTCTCACGGCCCTAGAACTCACCAAGGAGGCTACCTGGCCAACAAGCCCCAGCCGGCCCCCTGCCTCTGCTTCCCAGTGCTGGGATCGCAAGAGCATTGCACCACCATGCCCAGCTTCTTTTTGTTTCAATGTGGGTTCTGGGAATTGAACTCAGGTCCTCATGATTGCAAGGCATACACAGTAGCACCTCAGCCATCTCCCAAACCCCTTGCGGTTTCTGTTCTTGGTGACTGGGAGCCTAATCCTGTGCCACCACTGCCAGCCCAGGGTCATGCACAGAGCCCTCTGCCTAGGATATATGAGCCAGGGCTGACAGTACTCACACAAGCCTAGAGCCCTTCCCACACTGTAGGGGAAGAATAGAATTAGGAAACCCACATTAAAGATAAGAAGACAGCTGTTTACATCTGGGCACCAAACAAACTAAGGAGGAACCCAAGTGAGACACTCGGACCAGCATTTGACTGTAGGCGCCTCCTTGCCACCATTTATCTTAGAGCCAGTCTGTTTGTCGGATGACCGGTGGTGATCTCTTTTCTGTCTCTTGGCTCTGACCTCTACACCATTGCCTTTGGCCCCAAAGCCTTTATGTGGAAACTGCCAGAGATCTATTTACCAGGAAAACACACACAGAGAGAAGATGGGGACAATTGTGGACACCTAGGTGCCATCTGTGTGGAGCTGACTGAATAGGGGGAATTAAAACCCAATTCAGGGTCCTGGGCATCTCGGGAGCTATGCTTCATCCTCTGCAGCGGTCAGAGCAGCAGCCAAATTCCCTTTGAAATGCTGAACTGTGCCTGTGCATTCCGGGTGCCGCTCCAATGAGGCAGAGCGAGGTGCATGGGCATGTCCCCAAGGCCACAGTGCATGCAAGTGTACCTGTGGGCATAGGTGTCCGTGTGAATCGGGGGGGGGGGCTGCCAATAGAGGAGAGCATCTGAGGAGGCTTAGAGGGGTCTGAGGGGCCGGGAGTGACCCCCACAAACCTGCTTTACCCCGATCTGCATGATTGGCGTGATAACTTCTCTTTCACCTGAAGCTAATCCAGATTGTCAACTTGACCCACCTGGGAAGAGGGACCCTCAGGCAAAGAACTACCTGCATCAGACTGGCCGGGAGGCGTGTCTATGCGGTCTATTCCCCACTGCTAATTGATGTAGGATGCTCAAGCCCACGGTGGGGCTGAACATGAGCCGTAGAGCAAACCAACTGTTCCTTTTACGGTTTCAGCTTCCGCCCCCGCGGCAGGCTTCCTGCGCTGAGTTTCTGCCCAAACTTCCCTCAATAAGGACTGTGACCTGGAAGCTGTAAGATGAAATGAACCCTCCCCTCCAATCTTGCTTGTGGTTAAGGTGTTTACTACAGCAACAGAGAAGAAAGCACAGGCCTACAGGAAGGAGCTACGTGCTGATATATTATTTATGATTTAATACAGATTGCCATGAAGTATCAGAAAGCAAAGCCAGCCACACTAGTTAGCCGTAGAGGCTAGGAAAGGGTGGCACACACCTTGAATCCCAGGACTCAGGAGACAGGCAGATGAATCTCTCTGAGTTCAAGGCCACCCTGGCCTACACAAAAGTGAAGAGTAATAGAGCTTACGCCTTTGATCCCAGCACTTGGGATCACACACCTCTAATCTCGGTGCTCAGGAGGTGGAGACAGAAGGATATGGCTGGGTAGAGAAAGGAATAGAAAGAGGAGATGGAATTCAGAGGTTTTTGCCTCTGAGCATTCGAGGAGATGGCATTGTCTCCGAGGATTAGTGGAGACAGGCAGCCCTTTCAGCCTGAGGTAGTAGTAAGAGCTAGTGGCTTGGCTGCTTTGCTTCTCTGACCTTCAGCTTGAAGTCTGAACACCAATCTCTGTCTCTGGGCCATTTATTGTTGGTGCTGCAGAGCTAGAAAGGATTTCCCAGGTGGTGGAGAAGGTAGAAGAAGCTTGTGTGATGGACATTGGAGTGGGAGGTAAAATGTGAATCGTGGTGGTGCCACAGGGTGTTATATAAACTACACAAGTCATTCCTAGACTAGGCTGTGTCCCAGAGATAGGCGCTGGGCTCTTCTGTGTCAACAGCCTGAGCCCTGGGGACAGAGGCTAAAGGTCAGAAAGAGGTGAGTGGGAGTTTCAGCACCAGGGACAGCGCTGCAGATATGGGAAGGAAGGGAAGCCGACCCTTAGCCACAGATACCTTAAGGACAGCATGCCCCATAAAGCCTGCTCCCCACGTGCCTACAGACCCAGGCTCTTCCTCCATTGTCCTGTCTTAAAAATCGTAGCTCATCTAAGTGTCGTGGCTGAAGCCCAGAATCACCCTGCCTTGCCTTTCCTCTTCCTTATTGCACAATCTTAATCTTGATCCTCTCACCTAGAAGGCCCTCCTATCCGAACTAATAATGCCATGTCCTAGCACAGGCCACCAATGAGGAGGGGTGTGTGTCTGAGTTACTAAAACCCTCCTCCCTCCCTGCCCCCAACCTCTTTCCAGTTCACCCATGGCCAAAACAGTCACAAAGCTGAGCAAACCTTAGAGCCAGCCCGTGTCTTACCATCCTGCGTTGGTTGTAAGGCTCAGATTGGGGTGACCTGTTATCATCTGTAGAGCCCTCTGACACCCTTGATTTCATTCTGTGCTTTCTTTCATTCGTGTTTTTGGGGGCTAAAGGAGATCCATTGTGGGAGTGGAGTGAGGCCGTGTCAATCCCCAGAGCGGCCAGCACCTGAGGAGAGAGCAGTCTTTGAAGCCCATAGATTCTGACTGAGAATGGCATTCTGCATTCTGCCTCTGCACATCACATGCTGGGGTCGCAGGTGTGCATCTGAGTGGCCCCAGCCCTGGGAACACAGGCATGCATCTAACTGCCCCCAGCCCTGGGAACACAGGCATGCATCTAACTGCCCCCAGCCCTGGGGACGCAGGCGCGCATCTGACTACTCTTTTAATGTGGGTTCTGGGAATTGACCTTGCCCAGCAAGCACTTTCCTGACAGCCATCCTCCATTCACAGGTACTCTTTTTAAAGGTGACCCAAGACAGCCCCTGAGGTAAGACTCATGATCATAGCAGCCTCTAAAGGGCATGTGTCCCACTGTCCCAGAGGTCCTTGGAGGCCGGCTGCATGGGGATGCCCCCATTGGAGGCCGGTTGCATGGGGATGCCCCCATTGGAGGCCGGTTGCATGGGGATGCCCCCATTGGAGGCCAGTTGCATGGGGATGCCTCCATTGGAGGCCGGCTGCATGGGGGCGCCCCCATTGGAGGCCGGTTGCATGGGGATGCCCCCATTGGAGGCCGGCTGCATGGGGATGCCCCCATTGGAGGCCGGCTGCATGGGGATGCCCCCATTGGAGGCCAGCTGCATGGGGATGCCCCCATTGGAGGCTGGCTGCATGGGGATGCCCCCATTGGAGGCCGGCTGCATGGGGATGCCCCCATTGGAGGCCAGCTGCATGGGGATGCCCCCATTGGAGGCTGGCTGCATGGGGACGCCTCCACCCACCTCCTGCTCCTTCTGCAGCATTTCAAGGGCTTCTTGGAACTTCTTTTCCTTGGCTTCGATTTCTGCAATTGTTGCTTGGTTCTGCTCCTCATAGGCCATGGTGACCACAGCCAAGATCAGGTTGACCAGGTAGAACGATCCGAGGAAGATGACAAGCACAAAAAAGACCATGTACATTTTCCCAGAGGCCCGGAGTGTCTGGAGATTCAAGGAAAAGAAAGGAGGGCTGTGCATGGAACACGCGGGCTCTCGGAGGTCAGTCAGACGTCCAGAATGAGAGAAGCCATGCAGCTGGCCCATCCGTCTCCAGCCAAGACTGTACAAGGTTGTGCAGACTGGTGTCAGCTGGTACAGCCAGGTGTGGTGATGCACACCTGTAATCCCATCAGGTGGCATGCAGAGGCAGGGGCATCACCACGATTTCCACGTGAGCGAAGGCTACGGAGTGAAACCCTGTCTCAAGTGAACAAAGCAAAGGTACCTGCTGGTACAGGCGCTCCCAGGAGTCCTGCGTCATGAGACGGAACAGTGAGAGGAACGCCCACGCAAAGGAGTCGAAGCTGGTGTAGTCAAAATCAGGGTTTCCAGAAGTTTTCAGGCAGACGTAGCCACTGGGGCAGTGGCTGTGGAAACAGGGCAGACGTGTCACAGTGCGGCCTTGCTGATTGCATGCAAGGGAGTTTGGGGCAGTAGCAAACCGACAGGCTTGAGGTCGGGCCTGAGCTCGGGGCTCAGCCCTCCTCCTATTAGCTGAACGTTTAGTGTGGTGCGTTCCCCTCATCTATAACAAAGGGATGCCAATGCTTTTGCTCAATTTGCCCGTGTAGGGGAGTAGCCCAGAGGGGGCGTGAAGATAGCTCTGACCTGATTCTATACGGTGTCAAGCTTTTCTGTCGGCTTACACCAGGAAAGGGAAGGCAGTAGCCACAACGCAGACAGAGCCACAAGCCTGCTGGCACCACTTCCAGAGTTAACCATTAGGGAGGACTTGCATTAGCCAAGTTCAGCGACAGATTGCATATAACAATGAAAATATCACCTGCCACTTGCTAAGAGCTCGCTGTACACCTCTCTCCTCCCTGAGTGCTGCGTGGACAATATAATGCAATCATCTCAACAGTTCTCACCTAAAGTGAGGGAGTCAGGCTCACAGAGAGAGTGTGGGTGTGTTCATTAAAGATGGAGGCATGCCCCGGCATAGCAACCACATGCCGGGGCACCATGCCCAGGAGCGGTTGGCCAAAGGAACTCTAATTTTTGTTAGCTTTTTGTCTGTTCTGTTATTTTTGTCTTATTGTGTTTCTTTTTGATTGTTTGTGTTTTGTTTTTTTGTTTTGAGAGAATGTATGTGTGTACATATATGTATATATATGTGTGTGTGTATATATATATGCAAATATACAACATATATTTTGTGCAGAGTTGTGAGGAATATGATTAAAATATAGTCTATGAGAAAGTTATTTTTTAAAAAATAAGAATGTTGAAGTGCAGCTGTATAGCCAGCGAGGAACCCAGCACTGAGCCTGCTTCCCCTCCTGGTGTGGGAAGGAAGACAGGGTGGCCAGATCTATGAGTGTGGGGGGGCACTAAGATCTCCTCCCTCATGTCAAGGGGTCAGTGTGGTCTTGAGCAAGATATTTGGCTCAGAACACGTGAAATGCTTCCCCTCCTGAGTGGGGATAACCTGGTTAAGGAACCAGGAGTCCTGGCACCACCCCCCAGTGACAACCTCTGGAGCTTTCCTTATTCCAGACTTCCATGTAAACAGCTGGAACATCTTGCCCTGGAGTTATTATTGGTACTTTTCCTGCCTTGCTAATGCACATCTGCCGGGGATTGTTTCCCACTGTGCTGTGAGTCAGTATGTAGGCCCACTCCATCCCCTCAATAAACGGCATTTCTGTTGCACAAATGACCCGCCACTGTCTTGTCTCTTATTTAAATCTCTAGGCCTTCGCCCGATTTGTGGAACAGATCATAGTGCAGGCGCTACACGTGGAGGTCCCACCGAGATCGGGAAGAAAGGATCACCTAAGAGATCGCCCTCGGAGGCCAGCCGGCAAAGTAAGTGAATGAGGGTGTATTGAAGGATGGGTGCCAGTAACTCTAAGGAAATTCTCAGTGGGCAATTAGTGGCCCTGTTGAAAAGACAGGGCACCAGGATTAAAACTAAGACAGCTAAAGAATTCATTGCCATATTAGAGAAGCACAGTTCCTGGTTTATGTACACTGGAGGCTTAAACATCCATGATTGGGAACAGGTAAAAAGACATCTCCAAAAGGCTTATAAAGAAGAGGGGCCTGATAATTTCCCTATCGCCACTTTTCCCTTTGGCGTCTAGTTAAAGATGCGCTCCTGAGCAACAATGTCAATGTAAAAGAACAGGACTTCTGAGGAGGTACAAGATTTAGAATCTGAAATCTATTAGGGAACAAGAGGGATTCCCAACTAGGAGATGATAGTCCTACGGTAACTGATGAAGAAGATACTTTGGAAGCAGAAATTGAACAATTAAAACAAAGAATTGCTGAAGCTGATGAGCGCAAATGCCGCCTGCCAGGGCACAACCCCTTTCTTGTGCCAGAGACCTCCTTTACAGATGACCAACTTGTGGAGTGTAGAATAAAAAGGCATTTCGGGATCGCGGCTGCTATTGTTATTACCATTGCTGCCTCCGCAACAGTTTCTACGATAGCCCTCTCCCAATCTGTAAATAGTGCAAGCACAGTGGATCAACTATCAGGCGATTTGGCTGAAGGCTTAGCCTCCCAAAACACACTCGATAATCTAATACAAATTGGCATTTTAAAACTAAATCTACAAACTAGCCTTGCCTTCTATAGTGACAATTGGATTTATTGAGGTAGGCCCATGTGGCTTCTTGTTCTCTCTCTTTCACTCATATCTGTGTTACACCCACTAAAGCTAAGTATGCATCAGTTGTAGTTAGGTTTCTCCAGGGGTCCTGGAGTGATCAGTTTTTAAATTATACACATGTTTAGCCATTAACATCAATTGATCATTAACATCAATGAAACCTGAGTACCACCTGCCAGTGCAGAAGACCTTTCACAAGGACTTCAACTTGCCAGCAGATTAGAGAATGGGCAAGCTCTCTCTCACTGGGGCTCATAGCCCTTACCCTTGGTGCTATCTGCCTGATCTGCCTACACCGCCACAGCATTAGACAGGCCCAGGGCAACTTTCAAACAAGACAGATTCCACTATCTTTAGCTCAAGAGAATGCCTCTGCCCAAGTATGGCTGAACTACAGACGAACTAACCACCAGAGATGGGTAAGGCAGAAGAGGGCAAATAGCCAACCTAAGACAGGAGGGTTACAGGCATGGATGACCTCTCCAATGATGGGTAAAGAATTATGCTGACGTCCTCTGCTGCCTAAGACAGGTGTTAGTTTATATTAAAAGAAAGGGGGACCTGTACGGCCCTGCATGGACCCCCTACCCCCCCGAGGCACCCTGAGCAAGCCTGAGCTATTGGCTGGAACATTCTGCAGTCTTAGGTGGAACATCTTGCCCCAGAGTTGTTATTGGTGCTCTTCCTGATTTGCTAACACACATCTGCTGGGGAGGAACTCTTGACCCTTAATTGTTTTCCACTGTGCTGTGAGTCAGTATATAAGCCCACTCAATAAACGGCATTCCTGTTGCACAAATGACCCGCTGTCTTGTCTCTTATGTAGATCTCTAGGCGTTAGCCAGACTAGTGAAACAGACTGTAGCATACGCACTACACTTCACATGACTGGGGGTTTGCACACCTCCCGACTCCCACGTTTGCAGGAAGCCCTTTGGTCTTCTTTCCTGTGAGTTCTATCACTGTCACACCAACTCTGGTGGAGTCTGTGTGACATGGCAAAAATCATGTTTTTGGACTAGAGGTATGTGTTTTGTGGAACGTAGTTTTTTGGAGGTTTTTGGCATTTTGTCTTTATGTTTTGTTTTAATGTATTGATTAAATTTTGTGGATTTGGGTTCTGTACCTTATCTTTCTTGATTTTTGTGGCTATAGTTAGTACAACAGGTCCTGGCCAAGTCTTGGTGGATTGTGGCCCATTGGATGTTCCAGGAAGTGTTCCTGATGGCATGACCACTTCAAGGCCAACAAGAAATGACACCAATGAACCTGATGACCTTCAACCGGGAACGCCGGACCTGAGTCAACAAAGGTTCACAAACTATTCTGATCAGGATGTCCTATTTTTTTTAGGCTTTGTTAAAAGTTAAATGGAAGGAAAACAAAACTTTAAAAAATATTATAAATCAATTACAATAAAAATTATTTATTAAAAATCCAAACATACTAAATAATAAAAAATAAAAATTCAAAAACTAATAAAAAATTTCACCAAAAACTAAAAAAAGTAAAAATTCCTACTACTATAATTTATAATAAAAAACATTAAGTTCTACAAAACATTACAAATTTACACTAAAGTCAACAAAATTCTAAAAATAAACTAACCTCAAATCTAAAAGTTAAAACTACTGTCCAGATGTTTCTCAGAGCATACTTCCTACTCTGTTCTTTCAGTTTCAAGATAAGTTGTCAACATGTGACCTCTCCTCAGATGTGACTATGTATGACCTGGCATGGGGTCAAGTCTTAGTTCCTAAATCATGTGTATATATCTGATGCTCTCACTGAAGTAAACTTGCAGCAGATTCAAGCCACATCTCTGTGTGTTGTGTCTGTCTGTCACTTGCCAAATCCTCACTGACCCAGCTTTTGTGATCCCAGGAGACGCCCTCAGACCTCGCTCCGTTATTGCTGGCCCCTTCCTTCTACCCAAGCAACCTGGCTACATCTGCCTGATGGGAGGCCTGCCTCTCTAACACTTGAGATGGGGGCACAGATGAACCCCAGAACTTTGTCATGGAGGGCCAGGGGTCACTCTGGAACCACCAGTCTCAGAAATACCATCATCTAGCTGGGGAGAAGACGGGGTTTCAACTTAACTAGAAGGACAGTGAAAACCAAAGTTTGAACAACACTTTTCTGGAGCCAAAGATGCTGACCATTCTGCTTGTCTCTGCATCTCAACCGTCCCGAGATCACTCTTCCAGTGAGAAGGCGAAGGTAGCACCATGTCGCGATGGAGAATCACTATGGAGACAGACCCCTGAGCTTGCCTGAAGGAGTTTCCAGATTTGCTTAGTGGAGGCAGGAAGACACATCCTGAGTGTGGGTAGTACCACCCCATGGGCTGGGGTCCCAGGCTGGGTCAAAAGGTGAAACCGAGCTGAGCGTCCATCTGCTTCCTGACTGTGAGAGCCATGTGACCAGCCGCCTCACGCTCCTGCCTTCCTCACAATGAACTGTACCCTGCAACTGTGAGGCCAAATAAGCCCTCTTCCCTGCTTGTGGGGGGGGAAGCCCTCCTCCCTGCCTGTGTGGGGGGAAGCCCTCCTCCCTGTCTGTGTGTGGGGGGGAAGCCCTCCTCCCTGCCTGTCTGTGTGTGGGGGGAAGCCCTCCTCCCTGCTTGTGGGGGGGAAGCCCTCCTCCCTGCTTGTGGGGGGGGGAAGCCCTCCTCCCTGTCTGTGTGTGGGGGGAAGCCTTCCTCCCTGTCTGTGTGTGTGTGTGTGGGGGGAAGCCCTCCTCCCTGCCTGTGTGTGTGTGGGGGGGAAGCCCTCCTCCCTGCCTGTGTGTGTGGGGGAAGCCCTCCTCCCTGTCTGTGTGTGGGGGGGAAGCCCTCCTCCCTGCCTGTGTGTGGGGGGGGGAAGCCCTCCTCCCTGTCTGTGTGGGGGGGGGAAGCCCTCCTCCCTGCCTGGGTGTGGGGGGGAAGCCCTCCTCCCTGCCTGTGTGTGGGGGGGGAAGCCCTCCTCCCTGCTTGTGGGGGGGGGAAGCCCTCCTCCCTGTCTGTGTGGGGGGAGAAGCCCTCCTCCCTGCCTGTGGGGTGGAAGCCCTCCTCCCTGCCTGTGTGGGGGGAAGCCCTCCTCCCTGCTTGTGGGGGGGGGGAAGCCCTCCCTCCCTGCCTGTCTGTGTGTGGGGGAAGCCCTCCTCCCTGCCTGTGGGGGGAAGCTCTCCTCCCTGCCTGTGTGGGGGGGAAGCCCTTCTCCCTGCCTGTGGGGGGGGGAAGCCCTCCTCCCTGCCTGTCTGTGTGTGGGGGGAAGCCCTCCTCCCTGTCTGTGTGGGGGGGGAAGCCCTCCTCCCTGCCTGTCTGTGTGTGGGGGGAAGCCCTCCTCCCTGTCTGTGTGTGGGGGGAAGCCCTCCTCCCTGCCTGTCTGTGTGTGGGGGAAGCCCTCCTCCCTGTCTGTGGGGGGGGAAGCCCTCCTCCCTGCCTGTCTGTGTGTGGGGGGAAGCCCTCCTCCCTGCTTGTGGGGGGGGAAGCCCTCCTCCCTGTCTGTGTGTGTGGGGGGGGAAGCCCTCCTCCCTGCCTGGGTGTGGGGGGGAAGCCCTCCTCCCTGTCTGTGTGTGGGGGGGGAAGCCTTCCTCCCTGTCTGTGTGTGTGGGGGAGGAAGCCCTCCTCCCTGTCTGTGTGTGGGGGGGAAGCCTTCCTCCCTGTCTGTGTGTGTGTGTGTGGGGGGAAGCCCTCCTTCCTGTCTGTGTGTGGGGGGAAGCCCTCCTCCCTGTCTGCTGTGTGTGTGGGGGAAGCCCTCCTCCCTGCCTGGGTGTGGGGGGAAGCCCTCCTCCCTGCCTGGGTGTGGGGGGGAAGCCCTCCTCCCTGCCTGGGTGGGGGGAAGCCCTCCTCCCTGTCTGTCTGTGTGGGGGGGAAGCCCTCCTCCCTGTCTGTGTGTGTGTGGGGGGAAGCCCTCCTCCCTGCCTGGGTGTGGGGGGGGAAGCCCTCCTCCCTGTCTGTGTGTGTGGGGGGGAAGCCCTCCTCCCTGTCTGTGTGTGGGGGGAAGCCCTCCTCCCTATCTGTCTGTGTGTGGGGGAGGAAGCCCTCCTCCCTGTCTGTGTGTGGGGGGGAAGCCTTCCTCCCTGTCTGTGTGTGTGTGGGGGGGGGGAAGCCCTCCTCCCTGTCTGTGTGTGGGGGGAAGCCCTCCTCCCTGTCTGTCTGTGTGTGTGGGGGAAGCCCTCCTCCCTGCCTGGGTGTGGGGGGGAAGCCCTCCTCCCTGCCTGGGTGGGGGGAAGCCCTCCTCCCTGCCTGGGTGTGGGGGGGAAGCCCTCCTCCCTGTCTGTGTGTGTGGGGGAGGAAGCCCTCCTCCCTGCCTGGGTGTGGGGGGGGAAGCCCTCCTCCCTGCCTGTGTGTGTTTCTTCTCAGGCCACAGCGATGGGAAAGCTGCTACTGTACTGGGTCTTGTTTGTCTCTGCATGGGCAACAAAGACAATTGGCCACTCGGGAACAAGTGCCTGTGAAGTGACCTTCACCTGATCAGTGACGGATGTGGGAAGGGTGGGTCTTCCTCACCCAGACCTCTCCTGCTCTTTCTTCGCTCCAGCAGCCAAAGCAGGAGGCAGACGTGAGGCTCTGTGTCCCTTAGCTCAGTTTCTTACTTTCTGCTCTCCTCATGGAGTCATCTCCATTCAAGCATCACCTGCTCGTCCAACCCCAAAGTATTATGCCCATTTTTCCCCATCAGCTTCAACCGCTGCCTCCAGGAAGCCCTCCTGACTTTCTGTCTGGTCCTACAACATTGTCCATTGTGTTTCCCCAGCCCACGGAACTCCTAACACAGCATATGTTTTCTATGGCATAACATCTTTATGCACATACAAAAGAGACCAAAACACAGTTGGCTTACATCCTGAATTCAGCCTTCAGAAATATTTTGTCTGGCCAATGTGATAGGTAGATATTTTGGGGAGCTTGCAACCAAATTTCTAACTAGGTGTTAGCACATAGAAATTAAAACTGCAGGTCTCCTTCTGTTGAGTTAGCAGAGCTAGAAGCAGCGAACACACATTTCCTCATGGCAACCAAAAGCTGGGCGGAGCAATATCTGCCCCTTTCCATGGGGCATGAGCTCTCAGTTGCTATGGTTCCCTCCTGGCCCTTACCATTCGTTTGTTCTGTGTCTGACCTCAGTGAGAATTAGAAATTGCAGAAATGTTATGCACATATTTCTTCCGCTGTTATAAAAATATACATAATGAAAACCCAAGGGTAGAATGTGGAGCTTCACTCAAACACTTGCTTCTCCTGGGAGTTGGTCACTTGCTCCTCCCCTTTGGGTGCCTGCAGCCCTTCGGGATATGACCACTTTTCATTGACAGGTGAAGTCTTTTTCAGCCTTGGGAATCTGTGCTGACTCGTGACTTGCTGTGGTGAAGGGGACCCAGGAAGGACATCACTGTGTGAGAGAGCAAGACTTCCACACTCCACTGTTTCCCTGGGAATCTGCTATCTGCACGAGGGCAGCTCAAGCCAGACTGCTGGAGATAAAAGATCAGCGGAACACACAGACACCTTGCAGCAAATCCATCTGCTGCTTGCAGATGCACGGAGAAGCCACGTACCAGCTGGTCCACACTCTTGAGCATTGAGACACAAGTTCAATGATGGTTGTGTTAAGTCATAAAATCCTGGAGTCATTCGTTATGACTGGTACACTTACTCTCTGTGAGGTTGTGTGTGTGTGTGTGTGTGCGTGTGTGTGTGTGTGTGTGTGTGTGTGTGTGATGCTCGTATGTGGTGTGGGTACATGTATGTGGAGGACAGCATTCAACATCAGGTGTCTTTCTCTGTTGTTCTTCACTTTAGTTTTTGAGACAATGTCTCTCTCTGAACTTGAGTGAAAATGGTTGCCTAGCGAGGTCAGGGGTCTGCCTGTCTCCAGCTCTCTGCCCCAGAGCCCTTGGTGCTTTGACTACAGGTCTGCACTGGTGTGCCCAACTTTTTATGTGGCTGCCGGGGACTTACACACGGGTCCTCATCCTTGCACAGCAAGCATTTTAGCAGCTGGACCACAGCTGCAGCTCCCCTGCCTGTGAGTTGTATGATGGAAGTGTCTATGGTATTCGTTAATACAACTTCACTGGGATTCTACTCTGCACAGAGAATGATCCGGACACAATGGAGAAAGGATGTTGGACGTCCGTGCAGTCAGGGATGGATACTCACCCAGCATCAGATCCATTACCGCACAGTAAGGGGTCAGTAGTGCCGTCCTTGATGTAGTAATTTTCTAAAGGAAGGAAGAAATGAAGCCTCATGGTGTGTTCTGAAGTCGCCAACCCAGGCCTCCGGGGTCAAAGAAAACTCTTGCTCCTGTCTTTGTCTAAGTGAGGCCAGTCCCTTCGCCTTCAAGGGACACTCAGGGAGCCACACACCCTTCCACGCCACTTGGCTGTTCAGAGCCAGAAAATCTTGCTTTTGGATTGAGAACTTGTCAAATGTTTTCCTTGCCAAAAGGGAAGCCGGTCATCGGGAAAGTAGGGGAGGGGGCTCCACCCCACTCAGGAGCGGCTCATTGGAAACGAAGTGTGCAGGGCTTTCCACCACACAGTGCCGGGGGCCCGTGCTAGTCACTACAGCAGAGTGCCCGCTCACCTGTCATTTCAGAGGAGAAATTATGAGCCTTGTGGGGATCCGTGCCATTCCTGATGCATTTGTTCTTAAGGTTCCCCTTGAAGAGTTGCAGGCCCACCAAGGCAAAGACACTCAGGCAGAAGACAGTGAGGATGGTCACGTCAGCCAGCTTTCTCACCGAGTGGATCAGGGCTCCGACGATGACCTTCAGTCCTGTGGGGGAAGGTGACAGAGATGCGCACACATGGGCAAAGTGCCACACAGAGCGCAGGTGTTCACCTTGGCTGTCCTCACAGGTGTGGCACACATACTCCAGGCAGCCCTAAGCCCAGCTTCCAGGGTGACGTTTGTGATTGCCCAGAGAGGCGAGTAGGTGGGGCTGTCACCCTCATCATAAAAGCAAGCAGCTGAGGCCTGGTCAGTGCAGCTCTTATGAACTTAAGGCTAATAAATGACTGACACCAGTGGTTTAACTGAAACCCCTTTGGGCTGCCTGGGGATGTATGCAGCTCAACGGTAGAGCATTTGCCTAGCAGGCACAAGGCCCGAGTTCTATCCGCAGCATTGGGAAGTTCAAGATGAGTCCTCGCTGTATTCCCTGCCCTGTAGGCGTGAGGTAACACTTTCCACTCTAATTATTTGGTGTTTGTCTTTCTACATTCATCTCAGTCCTGGGAAGTAGTTCCAGGCTCGAGATAAATGAATTTCACTCAGAGAGAAAGGGGGAGGGGGAGGGGAGGGGGGAGGGGGAGGGACAGAGAGAGAACTCACGGAGATGGAGAGTGAGACAAAGTGAGAGACAGAACCACAGAGACACACAGAGATGAGCTTAGCGATGAGGCTGTGAAAGACAAAAACTAACGAAGCAGGAACTGGAAAATTCTGAGGAGGAATAGATCAGAGTCAGGCTGGCTGCAAAGAGGGGGCCCCGCTCCCTTGAGGGGGCGGTTTGTTAGTGGAAATTGCCTTCTTTGTGGGAACAGGGTCACAGACAACAGAAAAAATCCTGGCGCACAGTCCAGGACCCATCTGTGTCATTTTGGTGGAAACCTAATTTTCTTGACACCTCACACATGAGACCCTATACTGGGAGCGGAGTGATAGATGTGATGTCATGTATGGCAGGTTGTTTGACAATTGAAGCTAAATGCCACGGCATTGAAGGAAGTATCCTTCCTCTGCCTCTTACCACTGATCAACCCTTATGTTTCTCCTATGCTTAAAGAACCTTAGTTTCTTCATTAGCTAGGTCAATAACAATAATCTTATCCTGTGCTGTGTGTGTGTGCATGTACGTGTGTGTATGTGTATCTGTGTGTGCGCGTATGTGTGTGTATGTACATGTGTGTATGTATGTATGTGTGTGTATACATGTGTATGTGTCTGTATAAGAGTGTGTGTGTACGTGTGTGTGCATATGTATGTGTGTATGTTTGTATATATGTATATGTGTGTGCACATGTGTGTGTATGTACGTGTGTGTATATGTGTTGTCTCTGTGTGTGTGTGTGTGTGTGTGTGTGTGACTAATAGAAATGAATGTTCTGTTGAACAAACATGCTGCTTAAAGCCACTCACCCGGGATCACAGAAACCGTTTTCAGGGCTCTGAGAACTCGGAATGTCCGCAGGCCTGAGATTCCTCGGAGGTCTATCGCTGCACCAACATACCTGTAGAACCAAAAGGCACTCAGCATTTCCTCAGGGATGGGTCCCAGGGTGCCTAGCGCACACACAATGGGAAGCCTCGGGAGATCAGGGACAGACAGGTACACCCAGTGGCATTTACCGTCTATGGGTCGGCTTGGGTCCACTAAAGCATCACACTCTTTTTCAGAAAGTACCATTTCAAGAGGTGCACGGTTGGATTTCAAACACACGGGCTTGATCACCTGCCCCTCAACTACAGTTCCATGCTGGGTAAGAATAACACTGAGCCTCACCTGACCCGCATTGGCCAGTTACTAGCACAGAACTTTGGCTTGTCCCCATGGGCATGGGACAAGCCATTATGTACTCCAATACCCAAGCCACCAGAGGAAACTGGATGGAGATGAGGATATAACCCAATTATTTGCATGGACACCCCCAAAAGTCCTACAACCCAAAGCCTACGGGGGGCACACAGGCCAGAGAGGGGACACTCACGCCAGAGTGATGACGCTGAAGTCTAGCCAGTTCCAGGGGTCTCGCAGATAAGTGAACTCATTTAGACAAAACCCTCTAGCCAGTATCTTTATCAGGGCTTCGAAGGTGTAGATGACGGTGAAGGCATACCTGGGGAGGGGGGGAGGGGGAGAGGGACATTAACCGTGCCACAGAGGCCGCCTCCATACTTCCTCTGCCAGGAACTCAATTGCTGTGGTTGTTCCAAGGGACACATACAAAGACCACAGCTAAGTGAAGGAGAAGAGGAGGGTAAGAAGCTAGGACACACACACTGAAGTTTGATACAGGTGGACTGGGTAGGATGGAGAGAGAGAGAGAGAGAGAGAGAGAGAGAGAGAGAGAGAGAGAGAGAGAGAGAGAGAGAGAGAGAGAGAGGCGTGTGACAGTAGCAGCTTGTGAGTGGGCAGAGGACAATGTCAGGTGAAGAATGAGACTCTGTTCTATACCAAGCCCCACCCTATGGATGCTGGAGGCTCCTTTCCCAACCTGTGGTTTTAAAAGAAGCAGAAGGGGCATAGGTCTCTGTTATTGTCCTCTTCCTGCACCTCCCTACTTCCAACCCTCTTCTCTTTTCTCACCACACTCGGTGTGGCAGTGTTCCAGGCCTCCTTACCATGGAAGAGGAAAAGACATCTGATCCACAGGTGTTTTCACAGCAGGATGGAGCGTAAGGGAATCGGCTGCCTCAAAACAACCCCCTGGTTCTGCTGTGCCTCTTGTTGGGTTTAGGTGTGAAGAGCTGAGGTTGGAAGTGAGGTGATATTTCTGGAATGTTCAGAATCCTTTGATTGCCAGTGCTGATGGCTGGCTACCATCAGATCTACCTGAAGGCCATGCTCAAAGAGGTCCCTGGGCTGTGTCACAGTGTCTGGTTCAGTAGGTCTGAGGTGGGACTCAAGGACTGGAGTTTCTAATGTGTTCCCAGCTGATGCTCCTATGCTGGCCAGGGATTCAGATGAGCACATGAATTACACATGGTTTGTGCTGGGAAGATGAATGGTTTGCAAGAGTTTGCTGTGCAAGCATGAGGATCTGACTCCAAATCCTTGGGCATACATGTAAAAAGCCAGGAGTGACTGTGCTTCTAGTCCCAGCACTAGGAGTGGAGGCAGGAGCTCCCTGGGTTCCATGGCCAGTCGGCCTAGCTGAATCCATGAGCTCTGGGCTCAGTTAGAGACCCTGTCTCAAAACTAAGGTGGAAAGCAACCAAGAAGAAACCATATCTATACCAGCCTCTATCTCCATTTGCGCATGCACTAACACACACACACACACACACACACACACCATTTTAAATTATAAACATGTGCTTTTGTGATAAAATTAGGAAGAGTCTTGACTAAACATTCATTTACCCATCCTTCCTGAAAGTTCTTTCAGGGTGACAGAGGATTTTTCAAAGGCATATACCCCGCAAGGTAAGTACAAGGGACTCTGTAGAACATTGAACAGTTTGGACTTAGGGATGCTCAGGACTCCATAGGGTGGGCCACGGGAGAATGAACGGACAGGGCTCAAGGCCTGCTCCCCAGGAAGCAGCTTCCCACTCAGTGAGGAATTGCCTGTGAGGAGGTAGACCAGATGTTTATTCCCAGGAGGTGAGCACAACAGGGAATGATGCAGTCTGAGGCTGGAAAGCAGTTTTCCCGGAAGGCAGGCAGTCAGGCACCTGTCACTTCTGCCTTTGCCGGGTTCCTAGACATTGGTCAGAATCACAACTCATGAAGATCTACCCCCGTTCTCTGTCTATCAGGATCTAGTTATGTAGCCCAGGGTGGTTTCAAACTTGTGATCCTTCTACCTAGCTTTCTGAGTGCTGGGATCACAGGACTCCAACACCACAGCCACAGCAGATGCAGCACCTCCAGTAAGAAAGCTGCCCAAGGAGCATTGTGAACTTGAGGGATGCCTGGAATCAAAACCAAAACATGAGCCAGTCGTGGTAACCCATTGCTGTATCCCAGCACTGAGAGGGTAAGGGTTGTGATGATCTACAGGCCAGACTGGACTACATACACGAGCATCAGGCCAACATGTGCTGTATAGCAATTCCTGTCTCCAACATCACCATCACCAAAATATTACAAAGCCCAAGGCAACCAAAAAGGGCGTAAAAAGAAAAGGAACAATGAAGAGCAGACTGGAGAAATCTAGAGAAAGAAAGAAAAACCTCTGCTGTTGATATTTTTAGAGAGTTAAAAGGTAAGATAAACATTTCTTAATGCAAGAACAGGGATCTATAAAAAGAAGTGTTAAAAAACAAAACAGAACTTCTGACAAGATTGCAAATAAAGTTTTAGAAATCTCAGAAAATAAAACCCAAAGCAGGATGGAGTAAAAAGAAGATGGAAAATCAGGGGATTTGTTTGCTCCCAGACTAAAAAGAGATCTAGAAAGAATTGTTCAAGAAAAAAAAAATCCCCAAATTGAAATCGCTAAATATCTAAATTTCTAAAACATGAGCAAGTGTTCAAGAAATTGGATGAAAACAGCTAAAAAGCCCTCTTCATAGCAGAACTCCACAAAGTTTCAGCTCTTTCTGCACAAAGAAAAGCTCAGCACTCTGTCTGAGAAACAGAAAAACAAAACAAGCAGGATTGATGTCTCAGTGACTGTTCTATTGCTTCAAAGAGACTCCATGACCAAGGCCACAGATAAGGTGATGCATTTATCTGGGGGCTTGCTTACAGTTTCAGAGGTGAGTCCATGATCATCATGGCAGGGAGCACGGAGCAGGGAGCAGGGAGGCATGAGACTGGAGCAGTAGCCCAGAGCTTACATCCTGATCCACGGGCAGCAAACACAGAGAGACTGGAATTTTGAAACCTAAAAGCCCATGCTCAGTGACACACCTCCTCCATGGAAGCCATACTTCCTAATTCTTCCTAAACACACCACCAACCAGGAAGCAAACAGTAAAATATGTGAGCCTACTTGGGGGGGGGGGGAGGAGTTCTCATCCAAACCACCACACTGAGAATAGGAACACCTTGGCTTAAAAGGAAGGTCAAAAACTTTCCCATACAGAATTTGCTTGTCAGCCAAACTGTCAGAGATGAAGTTAAACCAACACCAGGGAATATGCACTCACTTCCTGGCCTCTGCCCATGGGAATCTAGACTAACCATCCCAGCACAACGAAAAAGCCACCAACAAACGCTAGATGGGGGGGGGGGTTCCCAGGAGCAGAGAAGAAAAACCCTCCAGGAAAGATCTTTGCTGAGGAACTGTGGGTCCAGCTGAGGTGAGAAATGAAGGGGCCTTGGAAGTGATTTATCTGAGGGAAATAGAAACCTGTGGGCAAGCTGGTGTGTTCAAATGTGCAGAACTGTGAATCAAGTCTATGGAGAAGGGTTTGGGGCAAACGAGAGGTAAAAGCACAGAACACTGAGCAAATGAAGAAATGGAACCCTCATAAACTCCAGGGAAAGTAGAAACGGTGTTCGAGCTGGAATCGGTAGGGCTGGAGAGACAGCTCAGTGGTTAAGTTCATGCTCTGCTCTTAGCAGACTGCCTGAGTTCAGCTCAGTGGTTAAGTTCATGCTCTGCTCTTAGCAGACTGCCTGAGTTCAGCTCAGTGGTTAAGTTCATGCTGCTCTTAGCAGACTGCCTGAGTTCAGCTCAGTGGTTAAGTTCATGCTCTGCTCTTAGCAGACTGCCTGAGTTCGGTTCCCAGCACCTGTGTCAAGTAGCTCACCACCAATTGTAACTCCAGCTTCAGAGGCTCTCATGGTCTCCATGGGTTCCTGCACTCACAGATGCACTGCCCCCACACAAGTAAATTAATAGTAAAATTACACACACACACACACACACACACACAAATCAGAACAGAGAGAGAGAAAGGTCACGGTACCATGCAGAGTGCTGAGTGGTAGCGGGTGAGGGCTGAGAAAAGAAAGAAGACATAGTCCGCACTGCTCTTGGGTCCAGACAGACCTGTACTCTAATCAGATAGAGTTCTGTGTTGCCCATAGCATCCTGGCCGAGGGCAAGTTCTCCCCTCCATCTCCTCCAGCATTCTGCTCCAGTGACGCAGTGGGAAGCACGTACATTTAGGAGTCAAAGTCCCTTTGCATTTCCCTGGTTCTGGGATACCAAGAGTGAAGTGTGCATCCACCCACTGCTGCCCTAGAGGGTAGGTGTAACCCCAGAGGGAAGGCAGTGTGGATAGCTCCATGAGGGAAACTGGCTGACGTCACAGGAAGAAGCAGAGATCGCTTCCTGTTTGTGGAGGGGTTGGATGGAGACGCTAGAAACACCAATAGAGGGATAAATAGTTGCAAGTGACGGAAAATGTGGGTGGAGCGTGGCGTTGCTACCCTGTATTCCCTGCATGACGGAATGGCTGCCCCGAAGCCACTGAAGGAGAGTTTACCACGGGCTCCACGAGGCCCTGACCCGCAGAGCAACTAAAAAATAACTGTGCGTGGCTCTCTCCACCGACCAGGGCTCTGCTGCAGCGTGAACAGCTCGGAAGGGGGTGGAAAGCAAAGCGCGCAGACTTGTCCTCACGGGCGAGCAGGCAATGTGGGCACTGCCCACACAGCCGGCTCTCCAGACCTGGGAACCGGGTGTCTCAAGTGTTTGTGTCTGTTTTCATTTTTACTTTATCCTTCCTCATTTGTGTGTGTGTGCTACCTTTCCTACAATACTTTTAAAACATCAGTCTGACTGATTTAAATATTTACGTGTTCATTTTTAAGTTTTTAATGTGTTTTTTCTTTTATATATTCCTTCTATTTCTCTTCCCTTCTAATTTCTTTTCTTGTCAGTCCCATTCTCTTTTGAGACAGGAGTTCACCACAGGGCCAGGGCTCTGGGATTGTAAACTCTCACACCCAGCTTTTAATATTCGATTTCCACTTCTTTATATCTCCTCCCTCTCTCTTGTATTTCTTTCTAATATTTTTGTTTGTTTGCTTTGTTTTATTTTTTGAGACTGAGTCTATCCACATAGCTCAGCTATCCTAGAACTCACTATTTAAGCCAGGCTGTGCTCAAACTCACAGAGATCCATCTGCCTCTCCCTCCTGATTAAAGCTGGGATTAAAGCTGTGCGCCCACCACATCCTCCTCTCTTTCCCCTGTGCCCTCAGTTGGATTTA